TTGTATTACCTACCAACTTTATGAGGGAAAAAGAAAGGAGAGAGATGGAGGGTGGAGTGTGGAGAGAGGACAGAGTGAGAGACAGACAGACAAAGAGAAGACCAGTCTAGGTTCCAGTGTTTGTCCAGCTGACAGGGAGGTCCTCAGTCTGTGAGAGTGCTTGTCTAGAAGCTTCCAAGTATTGAAGTCTCAAAGCCCTCCAGAACTTCTTTTAGGCTTCCTTTTACCTGGGGTTTGCCATCACGTTTGTCAGTAAGTTCGCAACAAGTTTGCAATAGACAAGTTTGCAGCCTAAACTGCTGCAAATGGCAGTTTGGGACAGAGCAAGGCTGTCGTGTCTCTGCAGGGCTCCCTTCACTCAACCACATCTTCAGCCTCCAATTTGTTGTCAGGGTGATGGTCTTATTTAGGAAGTGTTTAAGACAATTCCAGGTATGCCACAGGTAAAGTGTTTTTTGTTGGTCTGCTACATTTGTTTATTAGCATTTGTAAGTTTAGGAGAGAAAAAGCTAAATTACGTGCCTTGGTAAATTAATATGTGTTTTATTAAACTGAAGTTTAATTTGAACTGGAGTTCATGGTTTGCAATTCAGTGATATTTGCCGTACTACAGTTTTACTTTGAGGCTGACTTATGAGAACAACTGCGTGGCTCTAACACAGAAAGAAAATACCAACCATCTCAGCACTTCAGTCAGGTTGCTTTGGGGAATGAGACTATGGATCTTGCAACCGTCCATTCCAAATAGTTCCTAAACTAGAGGTTCTATCTTCTATTTAGAGGTTGAGATCGCTTATTATTTTCTTCATCAATTTATCCAATGGCATTTTTGAACATACACAAAATTTTATATTGCAAAAGCTTACAAAAAACTCTGCACTATTCAGCAAGATCAATGGTTTAACAATGTTTATCTGTCTTGACCTCATCTTCTGGTATTATTTAATCTTTTTCTTCTCTTTTTTAACGTAAAGGCATCCCAAATAATTTCCTATAAAAATAATTTACGTATTCACCTGTGATTCATGAAGCAGAAGGTTAGAGCAAGAATTCTAATAATAATAGAATTGCCGAATGAGAATTTATAAATATATTTTTTCTTTTATCTGAAAAATAACTTTCAGTATACAAAACCCAAACACCAGTAACTGCCTATTGAGTCACTGATTTTACTGAAGCTCTTGGAAGCTATCAGTTCTAAGCAGATACACATTAAAAGGCCTGTAATATAAGTGCTCAGGAATAAAAATATTCTCAACGTACACTTCTGACCATTACTTTTTTTTCCAGTAGTTATAGAAAATGTTGAATTGTAAAACTTGTTCAAAGCAATGATGACAATGCTCAGTGGTTGCACAGAAGCAATGTGATCATAAGCTTTCTGGAAGAGCCAGCCTTTGTTTCTGTCAAGTTTCGATCAACAGAAGTGACAGTAAGAGGCACAGATGTGTAGAAAAATGGGCTTGATCATCTTCTTGGTATGTTCACTTCAATGATTTACATGCTTAGAATTCAAAATGCTTCAATACAAAACCAATATCTGTGTCAAAAAAAAAAAAAAAAAAAAAAAGCATCAAAATCAAAACCTCATCCTAGCTGTATGTAAAAGCTAATTTTTGCGACTTATATAAAATGATGAAATACTTCTTGTTAGTACTTCTTGTTAATATCTGTTATTTCTGATACTTTTGCTGAAAGTTCTTTGTTTTACTTTTAGTAAAATTTATGTGTACATTTTGCATGTCAGTAAAAATACTGATAGAACAATACAAAGTTCTTATGTCACAAGGCAGACATTTGTGAAACACATGCATTGTATACACATCAATCAACACTCAAAGTGTTTTCATATCAGTAAATAAAAGATGAACAATTGAATATATATTTTGCAGAATCTGCAAAATGAATATGTATGCTATCCACACCTGTGGAAATATAATGGATTTCTTATAGATACTCATAGTTTCTTTTTTAGTCAAAGTGAATGGACATAAGTAGACAAAAATAACAAACCAAGAAATCAGTTCAGTATTGGTCAATATTGAACAATTTGTGATAATTAAGTGTAGTTTATATACTACAATATATATCCTAATTTGTTTCTTTCCTGAACAAAATTACCATCAAATTATAGATCTACCTAATCATCCCTTTTTTCTACTTTGTGTAGACCCGTATATGAGTCCTGCCCCTCCAATTACTGAATAATGACAATCATTAGTGAATTTGTTCATAGGCCGTTTCTAGCAATGCACATGCCATGAATAATTTTTTGCCTATGTGAACTGTATTATTCAAAAGGTCAGGAAGATGTACAGACTTGCAGAAAATAGGCAATTACCACTCCATGCTTACTCTCCTCAAATGCTCTTTCATTCAAGCTTCTGAAAGAAAGTAATTATCATTGAGAAGTGATTAAGGTATATGTTGAATGTGTTCTAATCCGAGGGATCTGTAGGAGCTGGTACAAAGGACTGTGTTTACAACATCATTCTTTGTTACAATTGCCTTTCTTCCTTACCAGGAACCAGAGGCACTTAACCTGTCACTCTCATAAAACATAGCTCAGTCACCTCTCATTACAAAGGATTGGTGTCATGAAAAAAATCTGGAGTGTTCAAGAAACCAAACAAAAAAATCTTGATTAAATAAACACTTTCTTCAAATTCTGATTTCTCTGTTCAGTCTTCTTAAAGTAATTCCTTTCATTATCATATACAGACTGAATAATCCTCCTGATTTACAAATGAATGTTAAAAAAATTAGAGAAACTAGAAACAAGAAGTGTGTCTTGCTAGCCTTAATTCAGATTCCACTGATTCGGGATGTGGTACCCAATTCACATCTACAGCAGACTACAGCAAATAGCGTAGTGTTCTTTGTGCTACACAGAAGATGTGGATTATTCCTGCAGCAGACTCTGCCAATGGTCTTTTTATTGCTGGAATAATTTCTTGTCTTTTGAATAGTTAGAAAAATGTTTTAGAAATTACAAGGCCTATTCCTGTTTATACTGCATCAAATGCCAATCCTGAAAAAAAAATTTTTAGAACGATGTGTGCAGGATATTTAATGTATACTTCGTATTTATGAAGCATACAGGATATTTAAGAATGGTGTTGTTCTAGTAGAGATTTCAGTGCACTATAACAGTTTTTAACCTGGGAAATAAAATCAGTCTATAGCTTTTGACCTCTTGGCAGTTTCAGCCCTAGTTCAGGTTTGCAAGATGATTTGCCCGAGTCCTTTCTTCTGCACAAATCCTTCTCCTCCTCCAGATTAAATTGTCCACTTCTGACCAGTTCCCCACTGCCAGAAAAACTGCATCATCCTTGTCTATTCTGTTCCTCTTCTGTTCTGTGTTTGTAATCTGACAATTTTGTACCCCTAAAAAATAGGAACCACTGTTCTTTCAGAAAGCAGTGTTGTTGTGGGGAGAACTTTATGATTTCTTTTTTTTTTTTTTTTAAGTCCTGGTTGGGAAGTCCCACAAAATGTCCTGCCAACCAGATGAGCTGTTGAAATTAATAGGGCAGATGAGCACAAATACGCAATAAACTCCAGTGTTCTCAAATAATTTATGTAAAGTGTCTTGCATCATTTTTCCTACTGAACATCACCCTCTAATCCCTCAGGTAATATTAGATTTATGTGTGGGTTCCTTTGAAGCGTACAGGGCTTTCCTCATCATCTGTGTTTTTGTTCTGTTTCTCTATTTGCCATAGAAGACACAGAAGACCTAGATTAGGCTAAGGATTTCAAAACAGTGATGAAGAGATATGAATATATGAAGAAAGAGTGCACAAGTAGGAGGAAGAATCAGGAGTTATATATAAGCAATTCACAATCAAAAATACTTTGTCCACGATTGCTTTGTGTCCAATTCATGGAGACCTGCACAGTTTCAGAAAGACATCTCCAGAGAAATAAGTATATGTCATCAGATCGTGTCTGGAATTCAATTGGTACTAGTTTTAATAGAATGTTTTAAAAGGTTGCCATGCATTGCATATGTTCAAATCATCCTGCCTCTGGAGTTTCTTGAACAATTGATGAAGGAAAACTTATTATGAGAATAAATAGGTGATTTATTTCTGGAAAAACCCCAGAAGACTGAGTGATGTGGGTGAATAATAGCAAGAAAAAAGTGATAGAAAGTGATAGAAAGATAGAAAGAAAAAAGTGGTAGATCTGTAGAATTGTAGAATATGACTGTTGAATGTTGACTCTGTTTTAGGAGAATACTGTAGTTTCTTCTAAATGAATTGATTCTGGTTCTGTTTAAGTGAAGTTCCTTTTAAAGATTTTTTATCCTGCATTAGGTATATATAGCTTTTCTGACCATTTAAATGATTTAAGATCTTGACCAGGGACTTGTAGTCCAGTTTTTTAATAACATTGTTATGATTTTGTTACCAACCCTTCAATAGGAGTACTGATCTCAAAACAGGAGAAATTCATTCTCATTACTGCTGTTGTAGCAATGGAATAATGCAGTGAACACATATTCTGGATGCTCATCGAAACCCATTCACTGTAGGGTTGTTACATAATACAATTTATTTTGCATGTAAATTTTTGTATCATTTTGGAGGATGGTTTAGATTGATCACTGGTTTTATTTGTTGTACCTCTTTTTCTAGGTGTTCATGTCAGTCACTCTTTTATATGGAAGGATTTTATAACTCATTGTTACATTTCAGTCCACCAAAGCTATGACATCTTTGTGGAAAACTTTTTACTTATCTTTTCTTGAATATTTTTTTGAGCATCTTATACATTCTAGGATTTGAGCAGGGGAAGGAGGGAAGCCATATGCTGTGCATGCCTTCCTCGAGGCCTTGGTGTGTCTATCAGAGAGGACCTTTGATAATGCACTGAGTTAATTCTACAGACAACATTTGCTTCTGCTAAATGAAGTTTTGAGAGCTGTTTGTGTGTCCATTCTCCTGTTGCTTCTGTCCATAATATTTTCTTAACTTTTATTAACTTTTTTGTAGGAGGCTTCTGGACACTGAGGATGAACTCTCGGACATCCAGTCGGATTCGGTCCCGCTGGAAGTGCGAGACTGGTTAGCTTCTACATTCACAAGGGAAATGGGAATAGTGAAGAGGAGACCTGAAGAAAAGCCCAAATTTCGAAGCATTGTGCATGCTGTACAGGCTGGGATTTTTGTAGAAAGGTGAGAGTTCTGTTTTCCTACCTTGGCAAGTATTACATTTAACCACAGAGTCTATTGTAAAAGGTGGGATGAGCCTGTATCAATTCTTTAAGACAGGTTTTAGGATTCAAATTATATATCTGTGTATGTTTCTATACAGAAACCCAGATAAAATCTCTACATTTGTAATGAAATCTCCTGGACTTTGGAAAATTCTGAGAATGGATTTTAAAGCTTGGAATCTTCTACATGAAGATGTGTGCCAAATATTACAGAAACATACAACAGTAATCCACCATCAAAGGGGCTTGTCTCTTAAGTTCATAAAAGTGCTTATGTCATCTTTGAGACCAGACCCTCAAGTAGCCTAGTATTATTTTCACAGATCATGAAAGAAGACTAAACAAAACAAGAAATTGTTATAATACTTTTTAATGAAATACTCTTACTGAATATTTTATTTGTTCTTTTAGGATGTACCGGAGAACTTCTAGCATGGTTGGTTTGGCTTACCCAGCAGAAGTGATTGTAACATTTAAGGTGAAATAACTATAATTGTGAAATTTGAATGGATTAGTACTTATTTCTAGTGAATTTTAGAGTAAAAAAATTTTTTCTACTGAATATACCCTGGACACATTTAGTACTGCAGAACTGAACACACAGAACAGAGCAATTTAATAGTTCAAAATTCAAAAATAGCATATGATTCTGGTTTTTGTTTTACTGTTTTGTTGTGATTTCATTTAGGTGTTACTAGAGCAAGAGTATAAAACTGGTATAGAAATTTTAATAAAAATGTGACAGTTGTGATTGTGTCAGCTCCCACCAGTATGGTAATCAGTATCTCTGGCAGCAGCATTTGCTTTCTTTTTAGGAAAGAAAAGAAAGTCATATTGGGAGAGAGATAATGAAAGAAATTGTGGCTTATGGAACAATGGCACTTTTTCTGTGAATTTAAGGCAACGCTATAGTTTACTTAAAAGTCAGTCTCTTATAATAGTAAAATTACTATGGCTACATATGCAATAAAGAATGATATACCCTGAGAAAGAATGTAGAGCTTTACCTTTTCTCCTGAGAGCACAGCATTATTGTGTTATTTACAAATCTCTGTATGGCTGTAGCATTAATAACATCGCATAGAAGCCTATTTGAAGGATAGTTATTCACATTAGCTTAATTAACTTTTACAGAAAAATTTTACACCAAATGTTAAATTTGAAGGATTAAGGCCTTTGATTCGAAGTTGCATAGGACATGTTACAAGTATTTTATTAATATTTATTAATGTTATTATATTTATTAATATATTAATATTTTTATTAATAAATATTCACTGAGATATTATCTACAAAAAGAGTTTGAAAGAATTGGAAAAAAAAAAAAAAAAAAAAAAAACCACAAAAAAACCAACAACAAAAAGCCCAAGACATTGATTTCTTTCCCTTTCTTCTCCCCTAAAAAAGCAAAATATCTTTTCCAGTGATTAGCTGGAATGCTACTTAAACAAACTGAAACTTTATGGTGTTCTTTTTCTTTTCTGCACACTTACAGGATGTTGATAAATGGTCTTTTGACGTATTTGCCCTAAATGAAGCAAGTGGAGAACACAGTCTGAAATTTATGATGTACGAGCTGTTCACCCGATATGACCTTTTGAACCGTTTCAAGGTCAGAAGCTATCCACAGATAAAAATATGCATGCAAAAATAAGTATGTCAAATTTAAAATGTAAGAAAGCCAGGATGGGTTTGAGATTATTTTTTTTGTACAGTGCAGTGCAGAACTTCATAGAAGATGGCAAGTTGAACATAACAATATGTCAGTAGTTCCGCTATATGAAACTCTACCCAGAGCCTGCAGATATTTCTGCAGATGAAGACCTGAATGCTACATAGACCATGTCAAGGCAATTTGGGATGGGACATTGCTCTTGAGCAGTTAAATGCTGTAAGCATTAAATGGATTAAGTAGGCAGATTTTTAAAAGTTTCCTAATAAGGTAGAATCTGTAGTTAATCCTGAGTACTGTTTTCATAATACAGTTCATTGTGTGTTGGCCAAAACTGGAGGAGTTTAGCTGAACCTCCCAGTTGAAAGCAACTTTAGTAATATATAGAAAAGGCTGCTTCTAGGTGGTGTTTGTAGGGTGTTGTGGTTCAATATGGAGTATTTCTAACCAACTTTGAAAAACTGAGATAAAATCTGAAGCACCAAATTTATTATTATAAAATTACTGAAGTTTCAATACAGCTCAAAATCTCTCACTGCCAAACTTCAAGCTCCATTGGAAGAGTCTGCTCATTTTGAAGTTGATTTCAGTAATTTGACTTATACAGTAACTCGAACTCAGCTTTTCCTGGGAGGGTCTGGATGATGTCAGAGCCCTACCAGGACCACCATTAACAGCACAGATTGAAAAAAATGCACAGGGTTATTGGCTTAGTGGGATTAAGCTCATTCTCAATCTGACAGTTTATCTTGCAGGACTTTTATATAAAGAAAAAGAAATTTTAAGGAAAATATCACTTCATTACATGGGAAAAAGTGGGACTAAATAGTACCTGTATTTTATACATTGCTTAGAGGAAGTAGGAGACAGGGAATGGAGACTGCCAGGTTCAAGAAAATACTGTCTCAATGTAAAGCTGATCAAGAAAAACAAGTTTTCCTATTTTTAGATTCCTGTTAGTTGTAACTTTCTTATAGGAACAATCTGCATACAGGAAGAAACCTCTCCACATCTATTTAGTCAATAGTTCTGCAGCCTCTTGTACACTGACTGCATGCTGTGCATGGTGTATGTTGCAGGATGTAACGTCTACAAAAATTGGGTGAAGACTTCCAGATGCATGTTAGATTTTAGACCTTTACATTTTAAATTCTTCTGTTCATAACAAAAATTTTGTGATGTACTTATTTGTGGTTTATTTATTGAATGATTAACTTTGCTGTTGTTGCAGGAAAAAACATTTATTTTAATTTTTACTTCCTCCCCAGATCCCTGTTCCCAACCTTATTACTTTTGCTGAAACTCTTGAGGTTGGTTACAGCAAATACAAAAATCCATATCACAACTTGATCCATGCAGCTGATGTTACTCAAACTGTGCATTACATAATGATTCATACTGGTATCATGGTAAGAAATACTACAAAGTTCAATTTACTTCTTTTTGCAGATTCTCTGATGTTTTGGATAGCTGTGTATGCGTGGCTTCAGCAAAAAGCTCCTTGAAAATTATTCAGAGAGATTCCAGTCTTCTGTTTAACAATTCTTCCAGCTTGATGTTGAGGAGAAAAAGGGGGGAAAAAAAATCGTTGTTAAACCCTTTTTGCTTTTCATTGGCTGAGCTTTGGCATTGCATATCATATTAAAAGAGATATTTGCAGTAGTGGGTGGGTGAGAATTTTTCACTTCCACATTGGAGCCTGGGAGGCGTGATCAGACAAGGAAACTTCAGTATCTGCTGAGATCTTGGCCATTGAAAGAAATACTGATTCAGTTCAGGTTTACTCAAACACTCTGAGCTGCTTTTTCTTTTGGTATATAACCATCTTTAGGACTGCCACTGTGTGTCACATATGCCTTCAATAGGCAGGAAATTGCATTTGCCTTGCGCTTTTGCAATATCCCAATATTCTTTTGTGTTAACTTTGGGATCTGAAGTGAGTCTGTGCAAGCAGTTTTACTCTTGTTTACTCATGTTTGATTTAATAGCAGCTGTGAAAGTCTCCTCACTATCAGGTTGCGAGACAAAAATGAGTACTGACTGGAAGTAAATGGACATTTCTGTCAATGGACTTTTGATGATTTGTCTTCAGTATGAATGCACCTTTTTATTTTTTTTTTTAATTTACAAAATGCCAGACGTGTGGAAAGTGATAGTGTCTGATTTCTGTTTGTAGAGCCTTGAAATGAATCCATGAGACTTTGGGAAAGGAAAATTTTTAGGCTGACTGTAAATGTTTGTACTTCAACATATAGACAATAAATGACAGTTATTTACCTATGCTAAGCCTTTTCTACCTGAAAGCTTTGGCTTCAGGAGAGAACAAGTCTCTAGGCATTGCAGTAATTAATTCTGTAGTTTGAAGGAAGCTTTTTACTTCTAAACATGGAGATTTTCAGGCCACATTTTAAGGCAAATACTGCTTGTGGAGTGATGTCTGGAATCTTCACCAGCCAGTATTCCCTTTGACACTGAGATATTTTCTTGAGAAAGGACTTCCATAGAAGCCTGAAAAATGGGTTAGGCAACTCTCTTAACTCCAACCCAAAGCTGTTGTATTAGATGTTCACTTATTAAAGAAACATTTTAATAAAAGAAAAAGCTTGAATGCATCATGGATCAGAGCAAGCATTAAGTCATGTGAAGCATGTCTCTGGTGCAGGATAAGCAGTTCAACAGGGAGAAAAATCCCTTTGTTGTATTACAGATTACAAACATTAAAATTATAAACATTCTTTTGGCTTACTGCAGCTGTGCTCTTTCTCCCTTCAAAAAAGACAATAGCATTCCAGATTTCCTTCATGGTGCCAGAACAAACTTTGAACTTTGTGAGTTATACTAGTTAATTTGGAATGATTAGCCATTGATTAAACAGTGCAACACACTTCAGAAGGCTCTGAACACCGAATCAAAGAATCTGCTTTGTATTTGAGTATCTGCTGTTCCACCAGATACACATGAGATTGAGAAAGGCCTCAACAACTCAAGTGGTACAATGTAGGCAATTTAACTTTGTAACTGCACTTGGATGTGATTTGGACAACTATTTTCAGAGAAGCATAAACTTCAGTGCTGTTACTTTGCTGTAGAAGCTCATTAATCTTGCAATATCCGTGCAAAATATTCCTGTAAAATTAGGCCACTTTTTAAATATTCGCTTTTGAATTGCTGAATTATGATACTGGAAAGTTCTTGGAAAGTTACCTAACTAGGACACCACTTAGTCAAGAGTGCCTTCAAACAGATGCAGTTTGCCAGGCAGAAGAAACATTTATAGAAATCAGTGTTTGAAAGGAGGCCTAGTGATTCCGCAGCTTGCAGTGTATTTCTGTCCAAATGTCATTTGCAGTCTGAGAATTCATCACTATATGCACAAATGTTCTGCTTAACTTTTTTTTCTTTCATTCTTTGCTGTTGCCTGATTAATTTTAGCCCTCCTGAACCAAGAAGTTGGCTTCTTGATCTAATTGTTTTTGGAGTGTGTCCTTTGTAATACTAATTGTAATTCTGCTGTATCGTCTATCAATTACTTGGACAGGAAGCGATTTGATACAATTGTATATCAGATTCCTCGGAGTTTTGCAGACTGACATTTGGTTTGAAATTCTTGTGCTTTTACTGTACCTTGAGGAGCTGATTCTGACAGCAAAGAATGGCTGTCTTGCTTATTCACTTCTGAAAGACACAGTGAAGCAAATGTTAGAAGAAACTGAGATTTGAAAATCTTTTTTGTAATTCCTATTGTGGAGGTCATTTGTATATCTGTTTGGCACTTGGAGTACAGTCAGATTTCAGCATTTGGCAAAAGTTTGACTGTTCATAGCTTTTGGTTTGAAAGCTTTTAGAAAGGTTATGGTGAAGAATAATATATTTTCAGTGTCTTGTTTAAAGAAATAGAATGATCATCATATTTTATGGAAGACATTGCCTGTCTATCTTAAGAAATGAGTTTCAGCCACTTCAGATCACTTCAGATGTGTTAGGAAGTTAGATATCACAGATGGCAGACAATCTATTAACTTCTCCAAGAGATTAAATCCCAGATGATACAACTGAAATATATAGCTCAAGCTAGCATTTATGAGATCTTCATCTCTACAAATTTAAGAATCCAAATCCCAGGGAATACATCTTGTGAAGAACTTTTGAGTCATCGATCATCTTCCCACCATCTCTTTTCTCCTCCCACATACCTGTATTGCTCAAATGAAAAGAAAAAATGTCTTTGCTATCAACCAGGGTATTGTGAGACTCACAGCTTTACTCATTTTTTAATCCAGCCTTGTTTAAAGAAATAGTTAGAACCAGAGTTCATGAAAAGTTAAGGTGCATCGATTTATAAAGCAATTTATAGTACTGCAAAGCATCTCTCAGTAGAGAGCTCTCTCAAGATTTTTTTGGTTGTTTTTTTTTTTTTTTTTTTCCAACAGTAGTTACACTCTCATGGCTGAATATCTGCTAGCAGGGAAGTAGGTTCCAGCTCCTTGCTGTCTGCCAGACCTCTGGATACCAGAACCTGCTTTGCACACTCCTATTGAAATAAATTAACTTGGCTTTTAGAGAGAAAGCTTACTCCTCTTCCTTAGAAATCCCTTAGCTAAATAGTTCTCAATTTCTCTGATTTTGACACTAATCTGAATTTTGACGATATTGCTGCAGTGTCCAGAATACTTACTTTCATGAGCACAGTATGAAAATTCTGTGTAGTCTACAGATATTGTTTGTAAGAAGCTCTCTTGACTTGTAAATGAATTATCTAGCAACTATTTTGGTTGCTAAAAAAGTTGAGGCTTAAAAAAGCATCTGAAAGAAAAAGTTTGTATTTGGCTTTGGTTGCTCATAATTTCTGGATTTCTGTTCTATTTGGTATGTTGAAAACATCGTGAAAGTCAGGACGAGTCATGGCCTAGTTTCTAACGACAGACAATACTATGAAGGTCAATGTTTCCATTTTTAGAACTGCTTACAGTACATTCTCATTCCTCTGTTGTGACCTTTTAAAATCTATACAGCTAGTACTTGTTGTTCCTTGGCTGCCTTAGCTGGTCTCTGAATGACCTATTTTATTGTTCTCACACAGCTAATGAATTTTGACTGTTTCCTTTCTTTATTGAAAAACTGATACCACTTCTGGCGCTGCGTGCATCTCATGTAGGGCATGGCATTCGCTCCAAAACTAATGCCTCCTATTCATTTCCACGGAGACTATAACAGATACAACGAGCAAAATAGCGCTATTTGATGGAGCAAACTCTCAGCTACAAAACGCTTTTTTTCAATATAGTCACCACCACTGGTCAATCTGCTGATGAGCTGACAGCAGTGCTCTTCATTTCATGGTGTGACAGCTGTGTATGCCTGTCTGGAATGTAGCTTGTCTTTCACGTCACTGTTGCCACTGCTCATGTGCACCACCCACCACCTCACTATGCTCACATCCACTGTTTGGTCTCTGTAAACCTTCAGCTAGTATTGAATTGGTCAATAGGTGCCATTTTTTCCACATGGAGGAATTCAGCGGCACACCTTTGCTTCGTACACACTTCCATGTCAGACACCATTTTGTCAGACTGCTCACCTCCTGCCGTCTGTCTCATGGCAATATAATGTAATGGAATGTTGGTGGGAAGGTTCATCCTCTACAGCCATACTGCCAACATCTACCTCTGACGCCATAGGCCAAAATAACAAAATAGGAGGCATTGCTTTTGGAGCAGCCCTGGTGCATGTATGTATATATTTGGGTTAAAATCATTCGTAGATCTTTTAGCACAGAAGCTTACTTCTACACAGGAAAAAATCTGAAATATGTGTGGAAATACCTGACTGTCATTTGACTTAATCAGTCCTATGTCTGTGGGCTTAACTATCACTTGATGCTTCTGCCCCTATTTTTGGGGGGAGTAAATTTTCTCCTGATGCTTTAAGTATTTACCATTAAAGAAAGTAGAACTTGAATGAGAAAATAACAAAGCTGATTATACCAACAAAGCAATCTTGAATTAGCCAGAGGTATAAAAGTGCAGAAAATTCTTGTGCTTGTGTGACTATCTGTGTTTTCTTTTGTTCTGTGTAACTGTATACTAATTTTATGCACCATATTTGTACATTTCTGAAAGCAATATGGTAGCACAAAGTACAATATAATTTAGAAAAGAAAAATCTCCCATGACCTAATTTCAGTATTATAGTTGTACCTAAAAAGGTATTGTAAACTGCATATTTTTTCACTGAAAAAAAAAGAAATTACAGCCTTAGCTCTGTAAAAAGCTTTTAGAAGAATTTACTACAATTTAGCAAGTGTCACATATTGGTTAGCATATTAGACACCTCCCACCCCAAATAACAGTAAAGTACACCACTTAATTTTCTTAAAAGCTGCTTATATGTTATGGCTGACAGTATTTACTTTGCTAGTGTCCATAAAGGCTTTAACTGAGTCTTGGAGACATTCAAATAAGCAGAAGGAGTAATTTTATTGTACAATACTTAGGCATGGTGGCTGTATAGTCAGCTGGAATCAAAAAATGATGAAGTTTACTTTAGCTGAAGGTCATGCAGAACACTTCAGTAATGCAGTTAATCTGAATTAGGCAGCTATAGAAAACATAACTAAGATCTGTTTTTCATTTACTAGCACTGGCTCACAGAACTGGAAATTTTAGCAATGATTTTTGCAGCTGCCATCCATGATTATGAACATACGGGGACCACAAACAATTTTCATATTCAGACAAGGTAAGCAATGTTGTTCTTGAAGCATCAAGCCTGGAGTTTGCTGTTGATTATTCCAAGCTGTTTCATACCTCTTACTGGTGCTGCCAGAAAGTAGCCAGACCATTCCAGATTTTATGAATTGAGTAAGCAGGGAAAAACCTTCAAGCACAGCTTTAGCAATCCCTACCAAGGATCCTCCCCTAACATGTCATGATAACATCTGCAGTAGCTATGACAAAGAAATCCATTTTGAAAGTTAGGCTCACTGCATTCTGATTCAGGCATAGTATGTCATAGCCTCTGGTCCAGAACATTAACATATGCCTTAAAATATATTCAGCTTACTGAATGAGAAACTCTGACAGATAAGGTACAGATACTGTGCCCAAGGGTTAAGTGTAATTAAATCCAGGACATACTCATGCCCTGGGTTGTGCCCTTAAACAATGAAGAAATTCAAGATCTGTAGCTGCAATAAAGGCATAATTCTTTTCCTCCTCTGCACAGCCTTTCTAAAAATAAACTCTAGTTTGTAGTTCCAAGTTTACACTACTTTTCTATTTTTGTCATTAATATTTTGCTCTGGAGTATTGCAAAAGTTAAAAAAAAAAAAAAAAGAATTACACTGTTTGACTCTTGCTTGGACATACAAACAGGTATTTGTTTTGTGGTAGAGACCAACTAAGCTCATTCTTTGCTCTTAGTGAATTTGCCCTGATGTGACGTCTCAGGGTGTTATTCCAGTTTCTTTTGCCAGCAAGATGCTGAGGAAAAGGCTGGCATAATCATATCCAATTTCATTTCTGATTAAAACTGTGCATGATTAGCCATGTGGGCCAAAGTGTTCTTCATAACCTTGTGTGATTGGTAAATCATTAATTTTCCCATGATTTTAGAAAGATTATGAACATAAACTTACTCACTGTTTAGGTAGGATATTGTTCGTTCCTTTTAAGTAAACTTTCCAATCCTATTTTTTCAGTTTCCCCAGTGCCATACCATACATGTGAGTGGTTAAACTGAACGTTTCATATTGTTCATCAGAACAAGGAATTGAATTTACCATATTAAGATCATAGTAAGCTGCACTGATAAGTCATTCCACCTCCCCTGCAGTACATATTGATCAGCTCACTGAACTGAGATATTCCGGAACAACAGAAGAGAAGTGGAGCAGAGAGGGGAAACCTAAGGTTGCCTAACAAGTCAAGTTGGGTTTTGGGAAAACAAGTTCCCCAAGAATTAATGAACTCTGAAGTATGATAAATCTGTATTGCATCCAAATTTCTGAAAAATCCATATGTAATTTTGGTATTTTAAGTTAGGCTCTTATTAGGAAGGAAAGGATGCAGTTGAGTATGGTAACTTTAAGGGTCAGGCTTTAGAAAGAATTTCAATGCAATCAAGATTCAGCTTTGTATTTCTTCCATTTCCTTCTTACAAGGCTCAAAGTGAGGCTGCTTTTCTACGAGAACAGGGGATCCGTTTATAACTTATGAAATTGAAGTTTTAAAACATTTTAAAGTTTACAGATCTTTTGGATTGCGAGTGACATGAGCGAAAGCACGTCTCTCAGAATAGAGGTGGTAATTTTTTAATACCCATTCTATTTGTAGATCTCCTCTCTTGTGAATGAGTTGCATTTTAAATGGTTGTGTTGCCAAGGAGTATTTCTAAGTGGCCTCAAAGAGCATCTCTATTGCTCTGTGATCCAATACTGTCAAGAAGCTCTAGGTTTGCTTCACAGGTTATTGGCGCAGTTTTAGAGTAAAAACAAAATGTTATATATTTAAAAAGATTACTTTCACATGGGCAATATATACAGTGGTAATGATGATATTTTTATGCAGATAGTATGGAAGCTTTATCATAATTTGATTTGATATTTATTTGATAGAAAAAATAAACATAGTTGGAGAGATGTAAATATATATGGTCAGTAGTTCTCAATGTTCTTCCTTCTCCAGCACTGCCATTGGGATGTTATTGAAAATTGTGCCTTTTTTTTAACACTAGGTCAGATGTTGCAATATTGTACAATGATCGGTCTGTTCTTGAAAACCATCATGTAAGTGCTGCTTATAGACTAATGCAAGAGGAAGAGATGAACATCCTGACAAATTTAACCAAAGATGACTGGAGGTAAGTAGTGTTTAGATACTCAAACATAATTCTGGTATTTAAAAATACTGAAAAACTCCAGGCTTTCTCTATAGAGTCTATTTTAAGAGTTCAAGTTACAGGAAGAAACTTTTGGCTGTGGCGGGAGTAATGGATATTTAGAGCTTTGGGAAAGCTGCTGTCGTGTAAAGAAGTACTGTTTGGAAGTTGCCAAATAATTTTCCAAGTGAGGTTGTGCTTTTATGAGGCATGTTGTTGGACTGTGTGGACAATGTCTCTGATGAGATAGTTTTCAGGAAAACCACAGAACTGCCCCTGTTGAGATAGATTACCTTTGTCTAGTGATGGATTTTAAAACCACAGTGCAGAGTCATGCTCTACTGCCAGCGTGACCACTACTGCATCTGAGATTTCTGTGTGCAGATTTCTGCGCTGCATGATCACATCTTGTTAAGCATTAAAACATGAGTTATCTGCAGAGTCCAAAAATAATAAGGTAAGGGTTCAGAAGCACGTGTTTTTTTCTTCTTCTTCATTTTAATGTGCTTTCTGAAGATAATTTGAGTGGTTGAAAGAATCAGGAACGTAACTGCCATGCACGAATATCAGGAACGAAATTAGCAAGTGTTAGATCTATGATTTTCTCAGTTATTAAGGCAGCACGTTATCTTTGTATACCATAGATCTCTACTAGATCCATACATCAAGTCTTTAAATTTGAGTCTTATGTATGATTCTGTACGTATAAAATAAGTAGGTGGACTTTGAATCCAGATAGGGATGTTTTGCTTCCAGGAAGGTCTTCCACTGTAAAGGATGCCACCGTAAATTATAGAGCTGTAATTTGTTTATTGATGTTTTCACAAAAATGCAGAATTATAAAGAAATACAGGAATTTCAGAACAAATTTTGGTTTGGGATATGTTTACAGGCAGAAGATTGGTTTACATGGTAGATTTACATGATTTTACTCATTTACATGAGTAGAACATTCCAAAATAAATATTTTATTGAACGCAAGTCTGCTGATCCTTTTGGTTTTCAGTTCAGTATTTCTCAATAGATGCTCCACTATGCTTAATATTAAAAGTGTTTATTTATTTATTTATTTTAATTTAGTAAGATAATGAGAGGAGAAACAAAATTTTTCATTCTTATAAAGGATTTATTCTCAGGTGATACTCATTTGATTTAGTTATCATAAAGTTTGCATTGTAAATTTACTTCTGGAGAAAGATCTCTGGAAATGATAAACTTCAACAGTGATTCCCGTATAAACCCAGTTCTTCATTACCAGCACAATGGATAATCAGAAGGCTGGAGCACCTCTCCTACGAAGACAGGCTGAGGGAGCTGGGCTTGTTCAGTCTGGAGAAGAGAAGGCTTCAGGGAGACCTCATTGCAGCCTTTCAGTATTTAAAGGGAAATTATAAATAGAAGGGAAATCTGCTTTTTGCAGGGGTAGGTAGTGACAGGACAAGAGAGAGTGGTTTAAAACTGAAGGAAGGGAGATTTAGATTAGATGTTGGGGGAAGTTTTTCACAGAGAGAGTGGTGAGGTGCTGGAACAGTCTGCCCAGGGAGGTTGTTGATGCCCCGTTCCTAGAGGTATTCAAGGCCAGGATGGATGGGGCCCTGGGCAGCCTGATCTGGTGCTCGATCTAGCAGTTGGCAACCCTGCCCACAGCAGGAGGGTTAAATCTATATGATCTTTAAGGTCCTGTCTAACCAAAGACATTCTATAATTCTAACATGAGCAGGGGTCTTTCTCTGCTGGGAACTCTTTTGGGCCTCTGTGATGCTTATTAAGAGCTGTTGAGAGTGGAGATGTGATTGTGCCAGTAGGCAGCCAGCAGGAGCTGGGATTTTTCATCTTTTAAAATCATAACTTGTAGAAGAGGTAATGAATTTCACTTCTTTAAGCTAGTTGCTTTGAATATGTGCCCCCAGCTGGTGTCATTTCATACACTGTCCTGCCAGAGAGCATGTAGAAAGCAGTTAGACTTTCTGATGCAGTTGAATTTCAGTTCAAAACTGGACCAAAGTCCTGGATTCATAGTCACTAGTGACCTCCTTGAATGAGTGTAGCCTGGGAATACCTGCAGCAATATGTAGTTGGATGTCAGCTGGTACTCTTCATTCCAGTCCTTCCCTTTTGCTATATCAGGAAGAAAAGAGTGATAGGATGATAGAAAGTATTGCCCAGTGGAAAGAGAAGCCTATGGTTTCCAGGCGTGTGATGTTTGTAATATAACGCTCTGATATGCTGCAACAGAATAAAGGAGGGGATATGATAGATTATTTTCACTTTTTGGAAGTACTCTCTTCTCTGTAAAGACTGCTTAGTCTAGTCTGTATGAAACCTGCCTAACAAGCTCAAGCAATTACAGTAGGACACAGAGTTCCACGGTTTGTTGCTTAGACAGACTCTTAAAGTCTGTTGTTGGTAGTAAATATAAATGATAATTTGCTCAACTTTTTAATGTACTTCCTCACACTGATGAATTTCTTGATTACCATCAGATCTGGTTGTTTTTTTTTTACTTACAGTGATTTTATTTTTTATTTTATATTAACACCTCTGCTTATTTACACACTGTAATTCTCTATTTCAGCAAGATGAAGCAAAATGACTGGGAATGACTTTATAGTATTACACTTGATTTTCTACAACTTAACTTCAAGAAGATAAATGAACTAATAAACAGTCATCTTCATTTGAGCTTAAAGCACAGGACTTGGGTCTGAGCAGGGAAATGCTGCCAATTACAAGTCACCAATTACAAGTGAACAGGCGATATTAAGGTTTCAAACCATTCCAGTTATAAAGCATATATTGATATATTGTCTGATTATATAAAAATATGGACAAAAAATGTACGTTGTGTGCAGTGCATAATGCACAGCTTATCTTTCACAACTTCCTCTGGCATTATTCTGTTTGAGGAAAGTAGAATTGCTGTAACTTGCAAGATTGCCTTAGGTCTTCAGTTTCCTACTTCCTAGCCTGTTCCTAAGGTTTTAGTTCAATGATCCAACTGTGTCCAACTGACTAAATGTCATTGTCACAAACAAATCCTGGTGACATGGGATTCAGTTTATTGGTTGACTACTTTCTGAAGAAACGAACGTATCGCTCTTTGTCTCTTGTCTATCACAGCATTATTCATGTTGTTTTTTCATGTCATATTTCATCTACTACTTGTTTATAAACATCCATAGGTCATATGGCTATGGGAGAGCTAAGAAAGGATGACAACAAAGGACACAACCAATTGCTTAAGGAATATGTATATACAAAACCAGTATTTTTCCAATTGTGAGCTCCAAAAATTTGCTATGTGCTATAAATGAAATTGCTATACTTCTGATAGCAGACGTAAAGATGGCAGTTCCTATGTGTCATTTTGCTGTGGTAGTATTAGCAGCACTAACAGTGTTTGTCATGATGCCTTCAGCTGCCTGATGCTTAAGGGAGTGTGCAGTGTTTTCTCTCCTTCGATATGGAAGTTGAGAGTCTCCATGGAGATAGTTTGGGAACAGTCTGTGTCCAAGAGTAATCTTTTGTGCAGTGTTAGTAGACTGAGCTCTCTTGGCTCTAGTAAAACTGTATTTAATGTTTCCCTGCCAGTTCTGTATTTTCTGTCTCTCTGTTGATAAGAATGGGAGTGCAGGCAGGAAGCAATTGCAGACTGTAGGCGGAGAGCCTCTCCTTTGCTGTTATGTAGTGTTTTAGTGACCTGAAATATTGTGAAGTGTGTGAGAAGGGCAGTGCTAAACAATCTGATCCTTCTTCAGGTGCCAGAAGCATGAATGTGAGTTTGTCATCTGCCATGACAAAGCGAATCTACCAGAAGCAGCATGTTGATTGCATGCCTTGCATGGTGGGGCTGGCTTATTTCTAATTACCACTAGAAGAAAGTTCAGACAGGGAAAGTTCCTAGGAAAATCTTCATAGGAATAGAAGTTATCATCAATTAAGTTTTACAAAGAAGCAGCACTTAACAGTGCTGAGCTCTCGCTTTTCATGCAGCTAGGCTTTTTTTCTTCTTTTTTTTATTTATTTCTGGGTTTGGCTGTGTTTGAAAGATGCAGTTTCAAAGCAGTGTGGAGGAGAAACAGTTGGGATACAAATAAATTAGTCTCTCATTATGAGATCAGATAAGGTAAGACATTTTCTAAACTCAGTTTGTTATGGCTGCATATTATTTGAGAAGTGAGAGGGTTGAATCTTTATCCAGTTATCATCAAAGCAAGTCAAGAAGAAATACACAAAAATCAATGAGGAGTATTAACTTAAATGTGCAATTAATTTAATTCAGAAGCAGTGTTGATAATTCATTATAAAAACTACTCAGCTCTAAAAAAAACCAAACAATCTCTTTAAAATGTGTTCCTTTGAAAAACCTGCACTGTTAGTCAACTCAAAGATTGAATATACTACTAAAGATCAATGAGTGTTACTTAAGTAGAATTTTACTCTTGTAATTGATACTTAGAGACCTTCAAGATTAGCATTGTGCTCATGAAGAGTTATGCTGCATCAACAAAGATTTAATGTGGTGAATTCTCCTCCATTTACATATGTAAGTGGCACTCTTACATATAATAGCCAGTAGGTCATTTTAAAAGCATGAGAATAAAGTAGACTCCTGCATACAACCCTCAACATCAAGGAAACAGAATTCTTTGAATCAGTATGCTGTGGCAGTATTGTAGATGCTGAGTTTTCTTCAAGGCACAGTTATTGCTGCTTGACAAGTAAGAATTTGACAGTAGGAATTTGTACACTGTCTCACGTGATTCACATTTTACTATTTTCATATCCATTTAGTATGGCCAAGCCCATATCTCAGTGCAAAACACCTGCATACAGATAAACTATAAATTCTGAACTTGCTTTAACTCTTGTAATAGACATTAAGGCATTTTTGAATTGAAGAATAGTTTGACATAATGTTTGTATGTTAGCATAATGTTAATAGCGTTTTGTATGTAATACTTCTTGCTCTTTTAAATGTTTTCACCATCTTCTTCCTGTGTTGTTCCTGCTATGCACTGATATGAGGGCAATAATAAAAGATAACAATATATTCCCCTGTGTGGTGGTGAGCCCAGAGACTGACTGTAAAATATTTCACTGCTGAAAAATAAGGAAAGGCTTTAAGTGGGCGACAGTTTTAGTTTAAACAGTAGAAAAGAAGAATTAAAAAATAGTGTGACTCTGAAATGATAGAATTTGAAATAAAAAATTGCAAAGAGCATTTTTTGAAGTACATTGCTTCCACAGAATCTCTTTATGATTCAATAGTCAAGTTATTAACTATTTATTTAAATGATTTAAGATTTAAAGAAATATTCCATGCGTAGAATAAATGGTTTGTAACCAGTCATTTTGCTTTTAATTATTCTCAGGGAGTTGCGTAGCTTGGTCATTGAGATGGTCTTGTCAACAGATATGTCGGGTCATTTCCAACAAATTAAAACGATGCGGCATACTCTACAGCAGGCAGAGGGGTAGGTAATTTTCATTCTGTTCATTATCTCTAGTCTTTAAATGAGCTCATGTACAAGAAAAGACTCAAATAGTTGTTTTTGTTCTGAGATAATTGGAGCATGTCCTTGAATTGACAGGGTAGACAAAGCCAAAGCCATGTCTTTGATTCTACATGCAGCAGACATAAGCCATCCAGCAAAATCCTGGGAACTGCACTACCGGTGGACCATGGCCCTGATGGAAGAATTTTTTCGACAGGTGCCAATTAAAAAATCTTTTAATATACTACTTCAAGAAGCAAATGTTACACAATTAAGTATTTTCTTAAGTCTACCAGCAAGGATATTGTTGGCTGTGATTGATGAACACAGTCAGCAGTATATATTTCTTACTCTTAATACATACCACTGACATTAACTTTCATGTGAGTGAATAAGATGAAATTGTTGTAGCTTCATATCTATTTCAGCTGATTCTAAGTGTTGTAGCACTTTTTTCTTTTGATAATAATATAACTTGTCAAGCTGTTTTCATTCTGTAGACAGAGAATTATGTATGCTTTGAGTTAAAATGAAGCACTGATAGGATAGAAAGAGGGACTTGAAATTAGGAAGAATTCGTGTTCAGTGAAGAATGCTAAATGCCATCTCCATTTCATATTTCAGAAAATCCTCCTATTTCTTGCCAATGCTTGCCATGCATGTTCCACATCATTATGAAGGCTTTGCTTTTATTACAACCTAATACCAAAACAGAGAGAATCATCCTGTAAACCCTGTGGCCATATATCCTAAACAAAAATGAAGATGCAGTCTTGAGAAGGTTTTTTCATTTCTGTGAGATACTGAATTCAAAGAGAAAGCCCAGTAGGTGTTGATGTCACTGCTGACATTTTCTGACTTCTCCTCAGCAAGTGAAAAAAGCTTTTCTTCAAAGGGAAAATATTATCTCTGAAAGGAGTATTTGTGAGATAATGAAACAGTGTAATTCTCACTCACCTAAATTGTCATTATTATGCTATATATTGACATTTTCCAATCAGATAGGTCACACTGGAGAAGGAGACCAGATAATAAACAAGTCAGTAAATTAAGCTGTGAGATTTAGCTGATCTGCCCTAGAAGGTTCTTGCTGAGTTCAGTGTTTCTTTATACAAATTCTCACCAGGGAGCATCAGGGCATCCTTGACTCCGGGGTTTGCACTGGGGAGACCAAGTGGAGAGTTGATTCATTAATCTACGTAATGAGTGGACTACATTATATGGAAATACTGAGTAGCGTAATGAGTTTGGGTCCATTTCTGTAAATGAAAATAATGATTTTGAAGTTGAGAGGAAAAAAGAGGAGCAGACTATCACAGATATATGTTACTTGAAAAGGTCAGAAATGACAAACTGTAGAAACAGTTCAGATGCAGAGAGATGGACTAGAGAGAGCCCATGGGACAATGAGGCAATGTGTCCAGTCAAGTGGATGTAGCATGAGCAATAAACAGTATCTCACTGGTCTTTGAGTGCTTAGGATCAGCTCATGTTTTAGCTGTTCCCCTATCCTTTCATTAGAAGAAGTAACAGGATCACAAATAAACTGCCTGAAGATATGACTAGCCATCTAGTATTAGAATCAAGTCACCACATGTTTTTTTTTGCTGCTGCACAGTGTAAAATGTGAAAGGCTGTGCAGCTCGTAGGCTGTAGAGGAATAGGTAAGGAATCGACTTCCTTTATAGGTATGACTAAGAGCAACAGCATGCATAGAGTAGTTCCAACGCTTACGAAGTGTGATGAAGTAACTAGATACAGAACTGCAGTGCAGACACAGACACAGGAGGCCTTCTGCTTCCTAGATGCTTTATTTCGGTTGTGCCTCCTCTGCACTGCTGATCCCAGTACATGCACTGGAAATTTGTGGGATTTCCAGATCTGTGTCAGCCCAGATGACACATATAGTCCTCCTCTTCTTTGATTTAAAAATAATAATTCAACTACTTCCAGTGCTTTGCAGGAAAATGCAGCAGAGCTTGAAACTACCACCAAGAAAACAATGTTTTAATAGGCAGCTTTCAAAGTAGTGAGCACTAGCAAAAAGCAAACATTCTCCTAGAAAAAAAACTTTGTTAACTGCAGCTAATAATTAAAATGTTCCAGTGTTAACTTCAGAGAAAAAGCCAAACTTTCTGATTTTAAAAACAACTATGGCAAGTGTATTGTAATGCCTAGGAAAATCTGAGTTACTTTGTTACTTGTTACAAGTTACTTGAGTACTTGCCCACTCACTCCAAATACTTAAAAATTAAGGAATATGTAGATTAAGTCACTCAAGGAAGCATTACAGCTCTGATAGCATTATGCCCTCAGCCTGCATAAAATCCAAAAGCATGAAAGTTCACCTGAGAAAAGATTTCATTTCACTCCATATCTTGATTCTAAATCTCTTGAGGTTCTAGTTATCAATTTTAGGTATCAATGCTGTGTCCATTATTACAATTTATGCTAGACTTAGTATTTATTATATTATATTTAATTATTAGTTATTGGTTTAATTTTGAAGCAGTTCATAATTTGGATAAAGAACAACCTGAAAACCTAAAAAAAGCAAATGTATTCCTCACAAATGTGGAATTTTTTCTTTTTCAATATCTAGTTAAGAGAAGATTGCAAAATTAGTATTGCTTTAGAAATTCTATATTCAGCAATGACTGAAATTGTTAAAACTACTCTATGTTGAAACACAATCTGCCTCCTGCATTTACATGGAGATACCACTGGCACTGCTCATGCGAACCTGCATTCTTCTGTGTTCTGAAGTCAAATTAATATGAACAGTTGGTTGTAAAACATAGAGGCTATAGAGATAAAAATCTCACATGAAACACAGTCTGTTTTTGTGTCTGAAGTGATTTCATAGTTCTCAACTTTTCCCGCTGGATGATCATGAAACAGCAGTCTGCATGACTAATGTAACATGTAGAACCATTTTACTTGAAAGACCAACTTTTTTCTCAGCCAGGTTTATCCAGCAACACAAATTATATCCTCCTCTGGGAGATCTCTCTCTTCATTCTTTTTGCATCACTGGATTGCCCTTCTGAACTTTGCAAATTGGTTGGCCTACTATGCTGTAAAGTGGAGATAGTACTACCCTGTCTGTCAAGTCTGTTATGACAAAAGAAGCCTTTTTAGCTGTTTGATGTTAAAAACTTTCAGAAGTAGATTTCTACAAGTCATGCTGCTAACAAAATTGAGCCTGTGCTTCTTTTTTCTTTCTTCAGCAGCACAGCCATACCTGCTAGTGAGAATAAGTTAAAGTCATATCGTGCCCTTTACCTTTACAAATCCATTAACAAAAATGTCGCACGTTGGATAAACCACTGCAATAGAAAGAAGCGCTTAGTGTTTTCAGTACAACTGCATACATGTCTAAGTGTCTCCAGTCCCATCACATCTGGGATCAGCAGAACTAAATGGTGACTGTTGAAGTGCTTTGTATAAAATATATATTTTTGCTTCTTGACACGTGTTAAATCTCATTGGCAGATGCAGTAAGCTCCTTTATGTAAAAACAGTCAGACGTAAGCCATAATTTTGACTTTTACTTTTCCTGAAATTTTTAAAGTAAATAGTGAATTTTTGGTTTTGCCCATGGCTTATTTTTGTTTAGGAGTATAAGTGAAGAAAATAACCTGTTGAATAAATGCTAATAGTATTTAGATTTGTTTTCTCTCTTTTCATCTATTAAGTATGTGCTTGTAATATTAAACATTGTTGTTTGCAGGGAGACAAGGAGGCTGCTTTAGGTCTTCAGTTTTCCCCACTCTGTGACCGCAAGTCTACTTTGGTAGCTCAGTCCCAAATCGGTAATGGCAAGTTCTGTTTTCCTTTTTCTTCCCCGTGTACAAGCTTGCAGCATCATGTGGACCTTTCCTACACCCATTATGAATTTTAAATGTTAAAAATCCCATCACAGTGAAAGTATTTCTTTGTAGCTATTTGTTCACTCAACTGCCCTTAAAGCAGCAATGCACTCATCTCAAAAGAATATGAAGTTATTGAGCATGTGTGATGATGCCAGGGAGGTTTTAGGCAGCAGAGGTGCTTACCAAAGTACTGGACATGAGCCTATCTAATACTGTTTGCATTTTACAGTTAAGTAGACCATGGCCTCAAGCAGGTTGTCTCTTGTTCAGAAACCTGAAAGTCTGTCTATGCTACAATCTAAAAGCCTGGTACCATTTTGTAGATACATCTTAACTAAAGCTCATTCATACCTCAGGTGCCTGGACTGCATCTGAGAGGCCTGGCATGGCATAGCCAAGCCTCCCTGGGCTGACAAGGACCACTGTATTCTATTTTCATCAATTCTAATTGCATTTTGGTCAGCAGTAGCCAAACTTCTTTCCCATTTTCATAAATACATGTCTTAGCTATCTCTACTTCCATTTCCTTCAGCAATAATAATGAAATAAAAATTGGTAAAAATCAGTGGGGCTAGTTAGAAGGGCATACCCTAGATGCATATCATATGAAGCCATATGTATTAACAGCTGTACTTGTGTGAGCGAGTGCAGAGGCTCCTGTAGAGAATCTACAGGTGAAGGTGTCTTATCCTTGAATTGAAGCATGTCATCCTGCCTGATCTTGTCACTCAGAGCATCCTTTATTCTGTTTGAGTGGGATTTGAAGCATTATACCTACTGCAGAAAGGAAGCTGGATCCTAGGCTGAAGCACCACTGCTCACCTTTGTGCTTTATGAAGACTCCTGGAAATCCATTGCTAGTTCACATTTTAGCTTTTTTTTTCACTTTTTTTTTTTCCTCTTAAGTGCTCAGCAGAGAATAATGCTTCATTCTCTCACTATGTCATTCCATACCTTGACAAGCACTTTAAAACGTAAAAGACATTGTTCAGAGCTGACATCTCAGAACTGTGGGATGAATGCTGTCTCCTAGGGATATTACTTGTTCTCTTCACTGATTTGACAGAACACTCCTACATACTGTGAGATAACACTTTACCTCCACAGAATAATAAACAGCATTTTGAAGTATTAACTCCTTGGCAAGAAGCTCTGTATGGTAAAGGAGCTGGTATGAGTTCTATCCTTTACTTCCCTTCTTTTTGATAATTAATATTCATTTCAAAATGGTAGGTGTGTTCTGCAGTACATAAAATTTACAAGGTAAAGAAATGAATAGCTATAATTATTGTCGAGTTATATCCACACAGGTTCACTAGCTGTTTTTTTTGTTGTTGTTTTTCTGTTTAGTTTTGCATTTTTTCCTTGATTAAATGAATGATATCTAATATATTGAATCAGTACTGCAACAATAAAATCAGTTTGATATCAAGTATTTATTTTTAGCAATGAGAGCTGTGAAAATGTAAAATCTGACTTTTTCTTTTTTATTCCCCTTCAGGTTTCATTGATTTCATAGTAGAACCAACATTTTCTCTTCTTACGGACTCAATGGAGAAAATTGTTATGCCTCTTATAGAGGAAGCATCAAAATCTGAAAGTCCTGCATTTGGGACACCCGGGTATGAATACACTGCTTCTTTTTTGGACTGGCAAAATTAACATAATGTCCTTCTCGGAATTATTGTAGTACTTTCATCAGTTGGGCAAGCAATAGGAACAGCTATACAGTGTTGCCATCATGTGGTACTATCTTGTATTTGCAGTATGTTATTCTTCCATTGATTGTGGATGAACTTGCATGTAAAAAGGCAAAGCCACAGTAAAGAACAGAATGCATACATAAAATATAAGTTCTTTTTCTACCACATACCTAAAAACAGCATTTTTTTCTTTATTATCTTTGTTATCTTTGTTCTCTTATCCTCAAGCCTTTTTCAGTAAAATTTTGACAGTTCTTTGATTTCTGACAGACAATTGGAAGTGGAGGTGCTGCAAACAGCTTCAGTTCTTTTCTGAGATTTTTGTGTTATGTATTCATAGAACCGTAGAATGGTTTGACTTGGAAGGGACCTTAAGGACCATCCAGCTCCAACCTTCATGCCATGGGCAGAAATACTTTGCAGTAGACCAGGTTGCTCAAAGCCCCATCTAACCTGACCTTGTATGTCTCCAAGGATGGAGGCTTCTTTGGACAACTTGTTTCAGTGCCCCACCTCCTTCCAAGTAAAGAATTTCTTCCTCATATCTATCTTAAACCCTCTTTCTTTTAATTTAGAGCCAGTACCACTTTTCCTACCAGTACACTGCCTGATAAAGATGCTGTAGGTCACTTTCCTTCTTCACTTTCCCATTCTAGTATTACTTTGTATATACACTTGAGCCAGAATTGACCCTGCTTATATTCCATCTGTGAAATTTAAATACACTATAAATGAGATGCTTGTTGTTTTTTTTTTTGTTTGGTTGGTTTTTGTCTATCAAGCTTTTCATTTTTGCATCATGAAGACAGGTGTCTACAAAACAGTCATGGGTCAATGTGATTACCCATGAAAAAGCAGAAATAAGGTGTTTTTTTATCATTAAAAAAAAAAGAAGAAGAAAAAAAAAGAAATGAAAATAGAAAAGAGAGTTACTACACCTGGACAAGTATCTGCATATTCACATTTAAAGAATCTATTTGGCCTGTATCTTATGTTTCTTGTAGAATAGCTTCAGTAGCATTTGAGTAGTGACTAAAGCTAATATTTTCTTATTAATGTTAATATATTAACATTAATATTAATGTTAATATAGTAATTGTTCTTAGTATTTCACTTTCATATTGTTTCGAAGGGTTGCATTTTATTGCCACTCCATTCTGCTTTGACTACAAACTCATGTAACATGAAGAGAATTTTCAGCTGGAATTAAGTGCATTTATGTGCCATACCCTATCATGTCTTGCTTTTTTTAAAATGCCACAACAATTAACAATCGTGTATCTTTCCTGTAAGTCCCCAGATACCATTCACTGTTTAAAAACATAACTAAGAAGCTACTCCAAAATAACTCCATAAACAGTCTTTCAGGATCCAACATTCAAGTAATGTATTTTCAGCTGTCACTTTGATTTTTTTCTCTACAAAGATTTCCTGGAAAAAGGTTGGCAAGAATAATTCTCAGGTTACAACTTCATGAGTTGTGGAAATATCCCGTATCTTAGACATTCTTTGGTGAAGACACTCATCTCTACATAGTAATTACATGCAAGTCCTAAATAATTTGGTTTAAATTAACTGTTTATGTATTTTTGAATATGCTCTATTTTGTATATAATTTAGGATTTTTTTTCTTTCTGCAGCCAGAATAATTTGGGAGCAGTAAGCAATGTTGATGCGCAAAGACGACACAATTTTAGAAGTACAGCAAGTGATGGAGCAGCTCACACAGAAAATTCCCTAGCAACTGTAGACCTAAGAAGCTTTAGGGACAACTTGATGCAGATAATTCAAGCAAACAAAGAAAGATGGAAGGAATTAGCAGTAGAAGGTATGATATAGTAAGAAGTTTTCATAGATTACTTTCTAAGAGCTCTCCTAATATTTTTTTTTAATTTCCCTCAACCTGTAAAACAGTTGTTATCATGTATTTTATTTCATATATGTTTAAATGACCCTGCATATAAGGTGTAAGGAGATGTAAGTAGTCAGGGGATGAGGGAAACCATACAACCTGTACAATAAGGCCCTCTGTTGCTCAGCTAATCCTTAGAAGGTTTAGAAATGTGCATTTTTGCACGTTTAATCATAACTCATAATGACATCCACCTTAAATGCCAAAATCAGTAGTTCAAAGTATTATGTACTACCATGTTTCTTAAAAAATGTAGAAGATATACTTTCCATTAGAAATGCTGTTTGTTCCACACTGTACAGAACAAAATTCAGTATTGCAGGCTTCTTGGGATTATGAGGTAGGCAATTATTTAAATGACCCAGTGAATGGAAAGATTTGGTCAATCACAGAGTGTATTATACCCAAACAAGGCTGAAAATGACTCACAATTTCCAGCTGATAGTAAAGCTAAACCTATATCATAGGGCTTTATTTATGAGCCATACCTGAAAATTGCCTGGGGTTGCAGTCATCTAAGTACAATGATTTGTGATAATTATTGGGTGAACACCTTGATCCATGTTCATTGAATGCCATTTGGGAACATATTATCTTCACAGTCTGTATTGTTTCCAAGTAAGCACCTGGCACATTTCAGTACAGTGTTTCAGTGCTGGGACTTGTCTCACTATGTGTGATCTCACAGCGACTGCAGGGAATGGTAAACCAGTACTCAGCCTTGTCTTTCATACCGTTCATACTTTCATCCACAGCAGCTTCTTTTTCTCTTGAAGGCAATGCTAAGACCTCATGTAGTGCTGGATTGCAAATGAATATTCTTGTTAAGAGAAAACTAAGAACAAGCTTCTTTTGTATCTACTGCTAACCAGACATTTTTATTTTCTACATCAGCATTCTGTGCATTGTTATGGAGGTGTACAGTGCTATTAAAAAGATAATTCCTGCTTCATTTCCATTACTTTGTAGTTCTCTATAAATTACTGATAGATTCAGTCATGTAAGCCTGGACCATTGACAGCCATTGAAAAGACAGAGCTTCTCACAGCAAGAGGTCTAAGAATTCTCTGGAGTAAGCGATTGTTTCTCAATACAGTCACTATTGTTATGAGGCCCAGCAAGATCCAAATCCAAGAAGTCAGACGTTTTGTCTATGAGAAACAGAGCTGTTAACATTCAAGATCCTCTTCTTTTCCTCCGTCAACTGAGGAAATATGTTTAGGTATTTCCTGACCAGAATTATGGAATTACAGTAGAGTGTTCATTAAAAAAACTGATAGTGAAATAACTTGTAGAGGCTAGAAAAGCATGAAGATCTTCAGGGTTCTTGCTTAGGTTCTAGATTAGATATCCCTAGAATAGCAAAAATACTTTTGAGTACAGACTTCTATTTTGTTAGTACTATAGCAGAAATGCTACATCAGGGTCTGAACCAGTGATTGAGCACCTGGGGGGAGGGCAGGGCCAGCCCAGGAGAGCTCAGGTGTATGCAGTGACCCTGTGTGGCTAGAAGGGGTGTAGCCAGGATCCACCCCTTCCCAGACCTCATTTAAGGGTTGGTCGTGGAGGCAAGGGCATCTCACTGGAGAGCCTTGCATACCTGAGGCTTTCTGAAGGTAAGCAGCTTCTTTCCCTTATTTCTGTGCCCATGACTGTTGCATTTGAGCAAATCCCCTCTTGCTGTAGCCTGGGACCTTGCTGCTTTGCTGTCATTGCTGTGCTTTTCATTGCGTTACAGTACATAGGCACTATGCTTTTTAAAAATAAAGGCTATGGGAGGATTTTGGAGGTTTGTGGAAGCTACTTTCCATTTATGTTTTTGCAAACTAATATTACTTCTACTCCATGGGGCATGTATGGGCATAAAGGGTTGCTGGAAAAGAATAAAAGAATTTTTCGGTAAGAGAATGTAACCCTCTGTGGAGCAGTACCTGACGTAGCGTATGTGTTTTTTGTAACGTACTTGGGGAAGGAACCTTCCCCACTTGGTTAGGATTGACAGTATACCTGCTCTGAGGCTGTACTCTATTAAGGCTTCTTAATCAGAGTATGCAGAATTAACATGTAGTAATCAGTGAAATTGTTTTGAACAATTTCTACTTGAAATTTCTGTCAGCTTGCACTTAAGTTTAACTAAGTTTCTAAGTGAATTATGTGAGATCTTGAACTTGGGGCTATTTGTCCTATTTTGTCTGGATCTTCTGCCGGTTTCTCTGACTTTGTTGCTTGCTGAGAAGTTCTTAGGCTACTCTGGGCGTATGTATGAATCTGTATTTTACTCTTATGTCAGTAGGAGCTCCTACTGTCAGAATGAATACCAGTACGTCACTGCCAGGCGAAAGGAATATTGTTGTTGCTACAGTTATTCCTAAATAGATAACTTATTACAAAATACAATGTGCTGAGGTTGCTGAGAGGATGATGTTCCTGAGGACAGTGTGCCTGGTAGGCAGGCTGGCTGGCTAACATATACGTCCAAACACTTTGAGTGGCCTGTGACTAATAGGACTCACTCTTTTACAAGAACAATCTGCGTTCTTATCTGTAGGTTTGCAGTTACTAGGTGCTGTTACCAAACCACTAGGTCAGCTCACAGGCTCAGGAGAAGAGTTGTCTCTACAGTGTATGGTGGTACAGATGCATAAAAACAAATGAAATCTAGCAACAATCCTTATGATTTCCTGAGCAGGAATTGCATTTCCTTCAGCTTCTCACCTTAGCAGGATAAGGCTGTAGGTGCAGCTCTGGCCTGGAGGGAGTATTGTGGATGCTGAGGCCTGAGGTCAATAATCTGACTCCAGTGCCTAAAGAAGCAGACCAGAATGTACTGATGTGGTGTTTGATGGGAGACCCAGCAGGTCCAGCTGCTCCTGCTGCCCCTCCCTGAAAAGATCCTGGTGAGACTGTTGGCTTGGGGCAAGCAGCTTGGTGCAAGGAGTAAAGTGCTTTGTTTTGAGAGGGCCTGTGTTAGCAAAGAAACCATTTATCTACCATTTATCTACCTAGGCAGCTGCTTGTGAGCTTCCTTAACAGAAGGTTTTCAAAATGAGATGGCTCCATTTTGCTTAAAATAAGAAAAAACAAAAACAACCTTGTTTTGTATAACTGATGCAGAGGAGCTCAGTGCTCTATAGCCTAAGGGTCCTCAACCTTTCACCACTGGAGAATTAGAGGAATGTGTCTCAGGCTTTTCAGGGAATTTTGTTAACAGGGAATTACCATAATGATCAAACATCTGGGATTCTAATTTGAAAGCCTTGATGTTTAATTAATATTCCAAACCCCTAATCACCAGATAATCTGTCTTTGTTCAACACAGCACAATGATAAAGAGACCATTGCATCCCCTGATTTTTTTTTTTTCTTTTCTTTTTTTTTTTTTTTTTTTCAACACATAATGGTGTTAACTGCTGCTATTTGAAAGTGTGATAGTTGCAGCAAATTAACAGTAAAGATGAGTGTGAGAGGCTGTTTCATCAGAGGTGCTTGCTAAGTCAACTTTGAGTCTGAGAGTTATCCACCTATGAGAAGCCAGTAAGAGAGAACTTGTTTGGAAACATTTAACTGTTACGCAGTTCTACTAGGAGCATAACAAATTATCTTGACTTTACAGTTGAGCAAAAAGAGAGGCAGCTTAGGGCACTCACCCAGATCATGTAATAGAAGAAGAGAATGCAGTATACAGACCAAGGGTCCAGATGCGAGTTGGATGGGCATGCAGATGTTCCACTGCAGCATAATACAACCAGCACTGTTATTCGTTGTTCCCAGTGCTTTGTTTTGAAGGAAAAAGAGAACAGCTCCCATCTTTGCAGTGTGGGTCAGTTTGTTAGCTTTATTATTATTATTTTGCATTTTTTTCCCCTGAGCTGCAACTTTAAATAACAGATGCCTTTTCTGAAAGACCTCTGGATCATACCTGCAGGCTTCCCTCAGGCACTTTTAATCCTGCATCCTTCCAGCCACAATAACCACAAGGTTTAGCTCCATTTTGTCTGAAAGATCATCTCTGTAGACTCCCTAATAAGAAGAGAGTAACAGCTGCTGCAATGCAAAAATCTGATAGCATGTTAATGTGATTTAGCAGCCGCTAGGGTGGTGGGAGGATGTGTGTGACAGTCGTGGAAATCAACTGACAGTTTGGTGCATGAAATCTACTCTAATAGACTGTTTTAATCTGTTGAACAAAATAAATTCAGAGGTCTAATGGAGACCCAGCTAAAACCAGAGACAGTGATTTTTTTATTTTATTTTTTTTAATTGCAGTGCTAAAATGCTTCAGTCAAAAGCAGTCTCTGAGCAAACTTAGTGTTAAGAATAGAGGGAAAAGAGGTTTTTCTGAAGTCTGAGTAAGTGCAGTGAACGGATTGAGCCAGGAGGGTCAGGAAATGTTGGTGATGTCTCATAAATCAGACTTGAGGAATGGTAACTGAACCCAAAGCAGAACCTTCTCCTCTATCAGGCTGAAGGTGGAATGTCCCTCTTGTCCCCCAAGCCCCAGAGATGTGGCATTAAAATCCCTATACTTTCAGCTAGACAGCAAAAGAGAAGTTAAAAGGTGGAGGTTTACTTTTAATCAAGACCTGAAGTAAAAAGTTTTGATGGCTATGAATCCTTTTGTTATGTTCTCTGCATGGCACAATGCTGTGACATCTGGCACCACCAGGTTACATGGCTTGCAGTAGTCTTTCATACTCCTATAGCTGTGATGAAATCTGCATATGAGAAAGTGGAAGTTGAAGGAGTTGGTGTCTAAATAAGTCTGTCTACTTCTCTCTTTAAAATGGCAGATGTGAGAATGCATCATCTGGAAAGATGGCATTCCTTCTCATGTTATCCAGGGTCCATTCCATTGTTTCTGCTTTGTGGAATTAGTTTTTTCCATTAAAAAGCAGACAATCCACAAAATCAAACAGTATGTGGTAATATGCAAAGGGAGTCTATAACACCAAGTGACACTGTTGTGTTTTAACCTGGCAGGTGGATCAGTACCACACAGTTGTTCGTTTATTCCCCTGCTTCCCAGGGGGATGGAGAGAGAATCAGGAAAAAGCAGCAGAACTCATGGGTTGAGGAAAATACTATTTACTAAGACAGGGAAAAGGACAATAGTTATGACTATATGTATATATAGACTATATGACTATATATATATATATATATATATATATAAAAAGTGATGCACAAGGAATTGCTTGCCCCTCCCTGACTGATGCCTGGCCAGCCCCCTGAGCAGTGGAAGAGAATGAGATGAACTCCCACCTCCTTCAGAACTCCTTCCACACAGTGGCACATGGTATGGAATATCTCTCTGGCCAGTTTGTGTCAGCTGTCCTAATTCTGTTCCCTCCCAGCTCCTTGGGCCCTTCTTTGAGAACTGGTTCTGTATAGCAGCGCTTAGCAGCAGCTATAAACATCAGTGTGTTATCAACACTGCTCTTCCCCTAGAACTGTAAAACAATCCAAGGAGGGCCTGTGATTTTAAAAAACCCACTTCTACACATGCTTATTAAGCCAAAAATAGAAAGTGACTTAATGAAAGAAGAGTAGTATTTGGTGGAAAGGGTAGAGAAGTGCTTGTTGTGTTAACCACTGAAGATGAAACAAAAACAACTACAAAACTCTCAAAATGTAGGACTACTGAGTAGTGGAATGTTTCAGCTATTCAAACAGCTGGCTGTTTGATCACAGCTCCTGACAGATTTCCAAACAAAGCATGGAAATTACTTTGCCAGCCTAAACACACAAAATGAAACACACCACTTGTGTGGTGCTTACTTATCAAATGACCTTGTTTCTTCTCATGAAGGACAGTGGTTTATGGCAGGAGTTCAGGAGTTGGAACAGAAGTACCAAAAAGAAGGGCGTGACTGACTGCTAACACATCTTTTAGGAGAGGCAATGTTTTGCAGACGTACACTAAGAAATTTTGATGATTGCACTTGGATTCTTGTAAAGAAAACCAAACCATTGAGAATGTGTAAATAATGCTGGCTCCAGGCACTTTTCCAGGATTGAAACAGAGAGAGCAAGAAGTGTAACAGTGTTAATGCCTGCTCTGAGTTCACTGCCTGCCTTTATCTGAATGAGAGCAAATAATACTTGCTGGCCACAATGTTGACTTAAACGAATATAATGCTTATAACAAGTTATAAGCAGATGTGTTCTAACCAGCTTAACTTTATTAAACTTGCAAATGCTAGGTTATCTCATTCATTTATCACGCCCCATTTCCATCCCTGGTTGGCCATAGCAAGGTGTGCCCATGGAGGAGCAGGAAGTTGCTCTTCCTAGAAGTGCAGTGTGGGGTGAAGTCCCCTGCCCAAATTGGTCAGATGGAGCCAGAGGCTCTGCTCTGCTCCTGTCCAGCCTTCCTGCCAGTCTGCTTTTCTCACACCAGTGGCATCAACTCAGCAGTGCCTCACATGAATCTTAGTAATTCTCTCATTGTCTGAGTCTCTTCTATAATTTGCTGAATACTTATGTTCCAACTCTCATAGTGTGAGCTAAGTTAATACTACAGTTCTAACAACAAATCAGTAACGTTGTTAGATAAATCAGTATCCTAGAGACAGGTCAAGGTACAGTCAAAGGCACTTGAAAGAAACCTTTAGGAAAACCCTACTGAAGTTTTTGCTTATGCTGAGCACAGAAAATAAACATCTCCAAGAAAGCCTAAATAAATTGATATATAAACAATTTTAACATATTTTTATATAAGTATTATGTTAACTTACATTTTTCAGATTTTCCTTTTCTGCATGTGTATGTAATTATATTTTTAGCTTTCCTCTCCTCAACTTGCTGATGCAACTGAACATCCAAAATTGTATTATGAAATTTCCTTGGGTTTCTTATAAAGTTAAGGAAAGATTATTGTAGCTCTGCCATATGGGAGCAAATATAGCTTGTAAATGAGTTTCGTGGGACAAAAGCCTTAGGTATGTAGAATAGAATTGCTCAGGTTGGAAAAGACCTTAAAAATCATAAAGTCCAACCATGACCTAACCATACTACCCTAACTAACAACCCTCTGCTAAATCATGTCCCTGAGCACCACATCCAAACACTTTTTAAACACACCCAGGGATGCTGATTCTACCACCTCCCTGGGGAGCCTATTCAAATACTTGGCAATCCTGTCACCAGTGAGAAGAGACCAATCCCGCTCTCACTGTAAGCACCCTTCAGATATTGGAAGAGAGCAATAAGGTCTCCCTGCAGCCTCCTTTTCCCCAGACTAAACAGCCCCAGTAGGTTATACCTCAAATGACAGATGCTGTAATGAATGTATCTCGCTTAAACATCAGATTTGCTTTAAGCTATGTATTCCTATTTCTCAATGTCTTTATCCCAAACACTTCTTTAAGTATTGTTCAGTCTGCAATGCTTGCACATTTTAAATTGTTGGAATTTGTATTTTTTATAATAGTATGCAGATTCTGAAATCTGAATTTATGAAATGGATTCTAATAACAAGATTAATGGTTCTACCACAAAACTTCTCAAATTTCCAATTTCTTGATTTTCTTATAAGATGCCAGGAAGTATAATATAGGTTATTTTTAATCAGACTGTTCACCTTTTGTGACTTTTCCATTCTCTGTTTTCTTCATCTTCTTGGTTTGTCTTTGTATGACCTCCCTGTGCTGCTCTACTTCCTGTCTCCTTTCACTCTGGCCATTTCATTTGTACTTTCCATTGCAGAGTCTCTGCAATGGAGCATGCAGTACAGCTTTCTGTGAACTTTTTTTTTGGTCCTGTTGCTGCTGACCTCTGAAGCACAATTTTTTGTTGTATTTTTTCCTTTCCCATTCTGTATGTTCTGCTAGCCAAGGAGGCAGCAGAAATGGATTGCATGCATATAGATATTTGAAATGTGTTTCGGCTTAAGCTATTAGTTGCCGTACTGGGTTTTTCCGGCCTGAGGGACAAACGCCCTTCAGGGCTTCCCTTCAGAGCCGATGCCTCCCTCTTCCTGGAATGGTGCTTCTCTCCATGTCCCCTCTCCATTACAGAACTGGTGAGCTCTGCTTCTTCCAGTCGTATTATGGCAAGCTGGTGCTTCAGCATGAGGCTCTCCTATTCCCACCCTTTAGCATACAGTGTATTTGTTGCTGCTGCTCATATTACCTCCAGATAAAGAAGTACATGTTAGAGGTCAAACCAGAAAGTAGACTGCTATGGTTCAGTTGCAATAGCATAATCAGGATCTGACCTATATTTAACTCATCAGTGCACCTGTCCTTGTGTAGAAAGTTTATGCTCACAGTGTTCCCATGTGCAACTCAGTCACTACTCTGAAATCAAACAACTGTGGCATATCCTTCATATCTAATTCGCATGTTTTGTTCCCTCTTTATAGAAGAACTTGTGAAAAATGTTGATGAACAGAAAAAAGACCAGAGCAGAAATTCCACAGATGCACAGTTACAGGAAGAGACAAGAAGCAGACAAAATGAGAGTAGTCAGGGAAGTGATGGTACAGCCTGTCCTCCCAGACCCATCGTCCTACAAGTAGTCACTTCCAACACTGCTCTGAGTGATGAATCCAACTCAGAAAAATGCACTAACTCTGATCCGAACCAGAAAGATCTCACCGATGCCCAGCAAGAAACACAGAATACAGACCCACTGAATGGTAATACTTCATGACAAAGCACCAGTCAATCTAATGAAGCTGTCCAGGGTGAAGCTGCAGCAGTGTCTGGTATCTCCCTGTCTAACTTCGACAGTGGTAAAATATTAAAACAAAGTGTTGTAAGAGAGTTTCTTCAGGAGTGTGTAGAAGCAAAAGTGTCCTAAACCCATTAATTAAAGACATTTGATATAAGCAAATATCATCTTCATATATTAGTTATTTGGAATCTAGTAGAAAGTGCTTTACATAAAATATCAAAACTTTTAGTTGAACAGAAGAATGATTTTAAAGAAACTTAAAGGTGTGTTTGCAGTTAAATAGCACTTTATTACTGAAGAATCAGGTAAACTTCCAAAATTAACAAAAAAAGTTAAATACTTTTAACTTTTGCTCTTATTATAGGTAATTCCTGTTGTGCAATTAAAATGCAAACCCTTAACTGAGGCACTTCATATGACTGTGGTGTTGTAAACCATTTCTGTATAATGTGAATTTGGAATTAACACTGATCAATTTACATAGATGTGATTTGCTAGCAGTAGTAGGCATGGGACTGCATCATCCTCTCAAGAAAGATCAGTCTCCTGATTGTAATGTGCTGGACAGGCAGAAAACCAAAACGTTCGTATGATGTCGGAATTTTTTTTTTTTTTTTTTTTTTTGAGAATGCATGTATTTTCACCACAAGGTGGTTATGATTTGGTGTATGTTTATTATATGACGTTATCAGTTCAAGATGCCCAAGCAATATGAATAGGTTTTATGGAAGTAAGAGAAATCACTGTGCATTTTTATAGTATCTTCATATGGTCCGAATAGTTTATTGTTAGAGTATGTTTCAGATATTAGGGTAATAGGAATAATCAAGGTATAATGGTATTGTTTCCCTCTCTTCCAATTATCACACTAAGCTCGTTAATGCTGAGCTAACAGTGAGCCTTGCAGTAATGTGCCAGAAGTATGGCAACGTGTGAGCAGCGATGTTAAATGCTTATAAGACTTAGACTAGACACAAGTATATGACTTGGCATATTTCTGAGCACTTCCTTTTATGGAGAACTCCCACTTATTCATTCTGGAGTCCAATATTCACCATTTGCATTTCAGTGCTCCCATGCTTTTGTTGACAGATTTTTTTTTTTTTTTTTCCCCATCAGCAATAACAGATGGTTAATTTAGGGTTCTAAATCAAAACATTTACACAAAAATTAATTCCACAGCATTTGAAGTTGTGTAGTGTAGCAATTGGACAGATCAATACAATGGGGAAGGCATTACAACAAAGGTGTGGTGATGGAAAGACCAACACAACTGAAAGGTGCTGTAAGGGAAAGGAAGAAGATTGCTCACCCGTATCAGAAGATTCCAAGTTCACAGGGGAAAGCTTCACCAAGGAGGGATTCACACAGCTGAATTGCCTTCACCTGTGCAACTCAGAGCTGACCAGGTCCTTTCCCTAGGTGCTCAATCAATGATTCAGGCTGTGACTCAGTAGTTCCCATACATCTAGCCGTTGACATTTTTGTCTTTGATATGTATTTTTTTGTACCTTTTTTCTATTAATGCTCATTTTGAAATTTATGTGCTCTAGAAAAGTTTCCCGTCTACTGAGTGTAGAGTACAGTAGGAAAAAAACTGTGTCTGTTGTCTTTCAAGCTGCGAAGAAGACGTTTGTGCTGTAGCTGTCATTTTTATGGAAACAAATAGTTTTGGTAATGTCCTGAATGAAAAACCAGAGCTTTTACAGGTATATCACTCACCCTTTGTATCACTAAAGAGGCAACAGTATCTAAGCTCTGTGGGATGGTAGCAAGTTGTGGAAGAAGGAGTGATAAATCTGGAGACATAATGCCTCAAGTTATCAATTACACAGTAGGAGAACTGGTGTATTATTTTTCAAGGTAGCTTCAGCGGTTGAGCTGTGTGCTGGCACTTAGTGGGATCCCCCAGCTTACCCCTGAGCCATAGCAGATTTTATAGCTGATAGCCACAAAAAGTTTTGGTATAATAATGTACGTTTCTCTACAGAAACTTAACATCTGTACCAGAAAAATGTAATCATCTGCATAAGATCTTTGGAAACAGAAGAATTTTGTTTCTAAAAAGGAAGGATTTTTCTTCAGACTGCCCTGTTCTATAAGCCATGTCTTTTCCTCCTGGTGAGAGTGAGAAGTAGGGGCTGCTGCTCATGCTGTTAACAGAACGTATTCCCAGCTATAGCAAGTTCTTATGAATAGTTTCCAAACTATGTTTCGGCTGTAGTTTGTTAATGAAGGCAGTCATTGTAGGGAATGATACTGTTGTTTAGAGAATATCTGTGTTCCCAGTTCTTCACATCTTGCACTTTTTTAAATTCTTTCTAATGGACTTGTGCATCCTTGGTCAACCAACTTAAGCCTAAATGGTATTTTTTACTTTCATGAACCTTTTGTGGACTCCGTCATTAGTAACTCCTAGTTCCACCAGCCCGAAAATGGCAAGATGAGGCTGGATTTCTCCTTTTGCTGAAGAGCTGTTTTCTCATTTATGCTGTTGCAGATATTTAATTGAGTATTACAATGCATAGAAGAAGGGCATTGATTGGGTTTTAGTTTTAAAAGGCATCTGATATTTGTAGGTCTTTTGCTGTCATTTTTTATAATAGATATTTCTGTGAAATGTCTGTCCTCTGCACTATGTTGGATTTGCTCTTAGCCATCTCCTTCTTCGTGTTTGTATTTCAGTAGAGAGAAATCACAGGAAAGTGGAGAGCTTGATGTTTTGACTGGTTTCTGTTCCATATTAATGTTTGAGCTGACCACCCACTGAATGTGTTCTTTTAGATATTCTGTGCAGAGGGTGTAATGCTTGATATCAGATTTACTTATCTGAAGATACTTGATGTTACAATGCCTTTGTCCATCTCCGTTGAGCTTTCTGCTGCTGCAAGGTTTTATTGGTCTGCCACCATGCCATTTATGTTCTGTTTTTATTACATTGAATTGTTTGATTTATACTTTAATAACATTTCATTCTTGCATTTTCTCAATTTTCTCCAAATTTAAATGTCGTAGGAAACTATTTTGAATACTTTCTGGTCTTTTGAAATGACTTACAGAAAGACTGTCATCATATTCTTCAGACTCTCTTTTCTAAGGACAGGAGGGCAGCCATTTTGCTATTTCACTGACATATATACATGTGGGCTCTTGTTGTACCTGCATTAAAACAACGTACTGCTAGAGGCTGGGGCATCATACTTACTACAAAGCATAGGTCCTGGCTCTCTGAGACAAAATGAATTAAAACTGAGGTTCAGCAGCAGCTTTAAGTACCTCTGCATCAGTAGTGCCACCATGTTGCAGCAAAAGAAAAGAGAGACAAAGCAGGAGCTCAGTATTGAAATAGCTGGCAATATCCAGTACCAAAGGGAATTGTCAGGTTACAATGTTTCATATTTCTTTTATGTTAGTGAAATGTAATTCTTGTAAGTGGAAGGACTTTCCTTGAACTGTCATGCTTATTTAGACAACAACAATAACACTGATGGTTTTGCATGGTTTTTCTTGCTGCAGTGTGTGCGGAAGTTGGTGTCTAATACTGCAGTTGTTGAATTCTACTGGATTGGAGAATCAGCCATTCATGAGTAGCATCAAGAGTACAGTACTTCTCACTTAGCATGTATTTTTCAAAAATCAATGGCATATAAAAATCCCTTATGAGGTGCAAACAATGAACCTTAGAGAGACCTTTGCATATGCTGAATGTGTAACTCAAATTGCTGCTGGTTTTCCTGGGTAGAATTTACTTCTTACTATGTGAGAAACGGAAGAATTAAAGGGAAAAAGACACCACATATCCGTATTCAATCTAGATTCAGCCTTGCCCGGAAACCATGGTTAATCTTGAATGTTATTTTTCTTCTCTCATCTGTTGTTCCTCCACATGGTGCAACGAGTGCTTTTCTGTTTAGCAACCTAAAACTTATGGGTTGGCTCTGGCATTTCTTACTGTCAACATATGAACGTCAGATAGGAGCAAATAACTTTTGTGCCTTTCCTCACCTTCGCAAACAAGTTGTGGTCAAGATGACCAGAAGGGAGAGCTGTGCATGATGCAGCACTGTTTAGCCCAGCAGGATCTTTCCCTGCACAGCACTACATCTCTGCTTCTCACTTCTACACCTGTGTTGATGACCAGCAGACTCAGTCAGGCCACTTTGTAAAAATAAGAGCAGGTATTTTCAACAGCTTCACTTGCAAGCTGTAAAAGGCAGTATACATATCTTTTAAGTTTTCTTTGTACATTTATCTGGACAGTATGAACATGCCTTGGGGGAAAAAAAAGAGAAAAGGTGCTGCTTTCCACTCCTTGCATCACTCTTCTTTCTCAGTTATTTACCACCACATCATACCAGGATCTGTTTCCCTGTGTCCCAGTCAGAGCAAAGAGAGAACTGCTGGGGGAACTCAGGCCAGGACTGAGTGCCTCTTCTTCCACGGCACTGCTCCTCTTCCTCAGTCTCACTATCATTTAATTGCATGTTACAAGATTAAGTGAACTGTTATAAGATGATTTTATTTAAGTGGTGGTTTTCCTTTTCTCCTGGGTGATTTATTAATTGGAGCATTAATTTTAAAAACTGCTTATGTTTAATTAAACAACCTCGTGTTTCAATGATTTATAATGGCTAGTTGGCACGCTTTTAACTTTTCGCTCATGATGATAGCCACATTAATCCTTAGTATCAGAATGTAAAAGGGGACAATAAATCTGCAGTAAGGCAGGATATGGGTAAAGTCATCCCTGGTGACAGTAGAGGACTGTCAGGCACAGTGTGTTGCAGTGAGCATGCAGAGCCTTCAGCAGAAACCTATGGTAAAGCTGCACGAGCTTACAGCAACAACACACCAGTTCAATTAATGGCAACGTGGACAGCATCAAGTAGTACCTGTGCCATGGCAATGCCAGTGGCCCTGGGTGCCAGTCCCACTGGTGCTCAGCAGCTGTGGGTGGAGGTTGTGTGCTTTGTTAGCATTAATTGTGCACCCTGCACATGGGTGGCAGTGGGAACCCAAAAGAGGCTCTGGGATGAGGATAGAGGGAAGGAGATGTTGAAGGAGCAGGTGATGTGCTAATAAAAAGGATAGGGGTAGAAGCCCTCAGCAATTATTGGGAAGTTGCTACAAAGTGTATGCACTTCTGTGAGGAAAGTGAAATGTGGCTCAGGATTCAGTGTTAGTTTTTACGAAGATTAAATGCACAGTGCTGTATTAGAGTGGGCAGTACCCTGGCAATGAAATCACTCACAAAATCCAGTAATGAAATTGTTTGTTTACTGTAATACTGTGGTAAATTCAGGGCTATTCATTTTTTTTTCTTTCCTTGTGTTCATTGTCATGCACTCTTTTTTTTTTTTTTCCTTTCTAAACTCTGAGCCTCTTCTTCAGCTTCAGCTCAATGAAAGACAGTCTTTCAGTGATTTGAAGCTTCCCTTTCAAATCACACATCACCAGCTTTCATTTCTAGTTGCTTATATAGTTTGTTATTGTCTTTCAAAAATTTTCCCCATATGCATTTTTGTTTCTAAACTTTTCCCCTTCTCTCAACTTACTTTCTCTGCTTTTGATACTTATGTGGCTTTCCTTTTTCACATTTTTTTAAGTCAGTATTAGTGGGATCACTCCATCCATTAGTTAAAGCTAAGCATTTACCATACAGTTGGTATATAACTCTGAAATTTGGTGCACTCCCCCCCATGTCTACTATCCTTAATCAGTTAACGATTTTTCCAGCAGTGCTTATTCAAGGAACAGCTTAAACAGGAGCTCTGTTTAATGATTGGAAGTTTGGCATTTATACTGTGTCACCTACTTTGAAATCTACTTGTGTTGCTAGGTGTCACATTCCCTATCTGATTGAATTAATTGAATCTTCAAAACTTGACATTGGCATCTTCCACTCTCTGAGAGCAATTTATGCCTATTTTGGTTGCCTGGTTGCCTTTGGTTGAAGAGGATTTAAACAGCACAGCTCTGCTGAGGGTGATTAGTTATTTTTTCAATAAATCAGAAGTTTTAGAAAAACCTACTTCATTAACACTCTCACGGTGTAGTCTATTGCTTTCGCTCTATCTTTTGCACTTTAGATAAACCACAGCAATTAGTCAATTAAATCCAGTACTTTCTATGCTGAGAAAACAGTTAAAGAAAACTGTGAATGAACCCTCACTGCAACCTTAGTAAAAGAAAGCGGAAAGACATTACTGCCTGTCTAGAGCTCTGCAGATGCTATAAATTTCTTTCGCTTCCTCACTCAAGTTCTTAATAACACTTTTTCTTTCTTCCAGGTGAGCCTACACACTGTAAGCAAACAGAAGATATAGTAAAAGCCACGGAACAGAATGAAGCACTGGTACACAACTAGATTTACTCTTTCTTAAAAGCTTCTGACGTTTCTGGCAGGACAGGTACTTCTGTCATTTCTTTCTTATAATGGTGATAGTTTTGTACCATAAAGACTAGCTCGTTGCTATTATTATTCTCTTTGTTCTATCCTAGTTGTGGGTTTATTACAAAACATTGTGCTTGGAGCATGTTGCAGCCCACTTTTTATGTCCCTTTTGAAGTCAATTCACCATAACGGAAGGGAAAAACAATACTGTGTATCTGAATTCTTAATGTGAGACAAAATAACCATTCAATAAAACATCCTCAAGTCAAGTATACTGAATACTAGAAATATGTGGTAATAGTATAACAGTATTGTTTATGAATTTTTACTTGAATTCTGTTGCAGAAGAAAAGAGCACTGTTCCTACCTCCATGCTCTCAGAGGCTGTTGTCTGTCAACTTACTCTCAGATCATCTTGTTTCAGTGGAGACTGGGCAGAAGGATCAAAAGTGTAAAACATCAAACCCTGAGCTGGGAACTCAACGCACCGAACAAGTCTCAAGACTTTGTCATATTTGTTGTTGCTTTTCCCTTTTCTATTCTGCTTTCTACAACTGGCCAAAATAATTTTTCCAGCCAAAGTTGGACCTTGCTTTGTTGCATCACTGACACCAGCTGTTTCCAAGAGACATGTGAAAACATGTTAAAGATCATCTGCACTGGATTGCTGTTCCGTGTCACTGCCACTGGCATCTAATGGAAATGGAAAGCCAAAACAAAATACTGTTACAGACACTTGTTCATGCAACCATGCTGCATGCAACATGAAAGTTCTACTTGTTAGCTTCCTTAAAATATCTGGAAATGTAAGTATGTGGACTGGGCAGGAAGTCATAGAGTTGTACTACCTATCCTGCATGAATAATGACTCTTTCCCATGTCTGCCACAGGGAGGGAGATGGTGTTTAATAAATCAGTATTGGAAATATCACCCAGTATTATGATTCAAACATACTCAGCTCTACAGTGTTTGTCATATGTCAGCACTGGTGTCAGCCCTACTACGAAGCTGGTGCTTATGATTTCACAGGCGGATGAGGCTGCTACACAAATACACAAAAATTGCTGCCCTCCAGCAACGCATAGTGTTGCCTCTCAGAACTGGAAGGTAATATTGAGGCCTCATATAATGAGTTTGCTCAAATGAAAAGGTGATCGCATGGATCCGACAAAGACCTCCCTTTGCTTTGTTCAAACACCAGAGCATCTTTTTCTGAGAGGCAGCACAAGTGGAGCACACAGGCACTTACCTCTGCCGGATATCTTGGAATGAGCCCTGCAGCCCAGCTGTGCCCACGTTCATCTCTGCTCCTGCTGAGCCTCATGGGACCTTGTGCAGTTTGCACCCAACCTCACTTCCCTCTGTTGCGGCCAACAAGGAACATTCCTCTCTCCCTTCACCTTTCACTCTCCTGGTTAACTTGGGTCACTGCGTTCCATTTTTTGGATCCTGTATTACCTCAATATGACCAAGACTGCAGTCCGCCAAGGGCCACACAGAGGCACGCTTGTGGGGCAGCATTCCTCCCTGCTTTGCAGAGCCCTGGGTGCTCATCCACTGCTTCAGGAACCTAATTAGAGCTCCCATGTACCACAGGCTCAGCCTCCAGAGAATGCGTTTTGTCCTGGCTGAAGAAGGAACAGTAAACCAGCCACCCCACACGTAGGGGCACGTGCTTCTCTCTTCCTTTGACTGTCTCCTTTCTGACAGCAGATCATTGCAATTGAGCTGGGAACAATATGAGCTCAGCCCTGGAATAAGGGCATGCCAAAAGGTGGAATTTCTGTCGTTGAATATGTAAGCCATATACACACTATGCACAGTTAGAGTGTGTAGTTTTAACTTAAGAAATGTTTGTGCATATAGGTTGTAAAAAGTGCATTTAAATTGTCTTGTGTATCTGGTCCAGGGCTTGTATTTGGCATGGACAAAGTTCTGTACAGTGCAGCTGAAGAATGAAATGTTAACAAATGAAATTGTATCATATATGTTATAATGCAATTGATATTTTTTGCTAAGAGTTAAGAATTTATATATTATGGCAGTGTTCGAGCAAATCCTTAGTAGCCTGGATCACTCCGTGCACCTCTGAATCCATTATGGGGAATGTTGGACACATTTTTTTCTTTATAATGAAATATTTCTTATTGTTGTTGCACCAAAAAAAAAGACATCATTTATATCACTTTTTTTTTTTTTCATTGCAAATTGCCATATGCTGTGACAGTAGAAAACTTTCCTGTTTAAGATCTGGTATCTTTGGTCTTATCTCTTTTCTTTCCAAACAAGGGATCTTATTTCAGATATGTTGAGCATCTGCAGTTCCGGCCAAATTTTAAAAGTGCAAAAATTGAGAGAGATACTTAAAAATTAGGCCAGCTACGTCTTTGTCTGTAACAGTGCATTCATCAGCATTGTGATTTATCATTCCCTGAGACCAAAACTTTGGAGCCATCCAAATTTAATGTTTGTATTTACTTTCAATTTCAGACTTCTACCATAGCTGAACTTGACTTTTTCTTTATGTGATTGATATACTATACGAAAATCTTCTTCTGGAAATACAAACAGAACTTGCAGAACGCTGGGAGCATCCTGTGGGGCTTTTGGTGTCCTGTTGTCCTTCAGAAGGTAGGAGGAGCTCCTGAGCTCATAGAAGGCACTCAGTGCCTGCTCAACTCTTCATTCATACAGAAATGTACAAATAATTCTACTTCTTCATTTTTATACAGTCTTAATCACTGTGGTAGGTGTTACTGAAATAGAAGAGTCCTTAGTTTTCCTTTAAAGCCAGATAACTCTTCTTTCTTTCTTCCTTTATTCTTAGCAAGGTTTTTTTCCAGACATGACCCAAAGCTTAGTGTGTTGTTTGGATGAGGAAAATTTAGTTTGGCTGAGGAGACCATAATCGTTGTGTGTCAGTTAAGGCTTTGATCTTGCGTGGAATTCACACTCAGATGGCAGAGCAGCTTCCTGTGGGGGGGCCTCTCCTGGGCAGGACTTTCTCCGAACCCTAGAAGGCTGCACTACCAAAGCATTGCATGGGGCCATAAGAACTGGTGTTTATATCTGCATCTCTCCCACAGCATTATGGGCATGTACCCCTGCATTGAGCACACTGAGGAGCTGTAGCTTTAGATTAGCCCTCAAAATTTTTATTTTGTACTTTTATCTTGAGATATCTGATAAATATATTATGTAATATTGTTATGGTTTATGATCTAGCCAGTATTTTTTTTAATTTAATTTTCAATAAGCAATCTACAACTGTGTGTTTCTCTTCTGCTGTATTTGTCCGTATTTCCTATGATGATATTCTTAAATAAATTTGATTTGAGGGCAAAGATCATGAAGCTCCTGAGTGTTAGTTACAAATCTGCTTGACTGAAGCATTTGCTTATTTGCATACAGTTGTCTCTGAAAAGTGGCAGAGCGCAGCTGGCTGTTCCTGTGCCCTTTTCCTGCCTGTCACTCCGTGCTTTGTCCATGGCTGTGCCACTATGCTGCACCAACTCACTTGCATCCTTGTGACTCCCTTGATGATACTTTCTCTCAGTGTGCTTTACCTTTTTAACCTTTACTACTCAGTCAGCCATCATATGAAGGAAATCATAACCAATAAAAGGTATTGTTTCCCAAATCTTTTTACCAGGGGCTGGCACTGTTAAAATTGCTGGTATTATTCAGGCCAGCACTGATTCTTCAGAATGGGTTCTGTTTTCAGAGGCACCTCTATGGCAGGGTCCAGGCTTAATTAGCAAAGTTCAGTGGAGCAGGGCCTCAACCTACTACAACTGGAAATCAATGGAAAGAATCCTACTGACTTGAATTATGCTCTAACAAGGTGCATGATAGCAATAAATGAAGAACAACTCTGCCATATCTAGTTCTTTGCAGCTCCATTCAGCTCTCTTCAGCTATATGCTTGGGTGACTTTCATCTGTTGCATGTAAGCCAGAAGACAAACAAGCTGCTACTAAGACATCAAATTAACAAAGTAATCAAGTTCCCTAGTGGAAATGTATGGAATAGATGTTTTCAACTGACTACATAGGAGAAAGAGTAAGATATAATATTAACGTTCTTCAATAGCAGATTAAAAAGACTTAACATTATGATAGTTTAGACAAGATTTGTTTTAGAGAGGAGTGTATCCAATTGTAACTTGTTTTTTGAAAAATCAAATCCTTCAAAACCTAAAAAATCCTAAAAATTGAGTAGAAACAACATTTAATAATGTAAAGAAAAGAAAGTGTCATCTCTCAGAAAAGTTTAGGCAGTGTCCCTGGGATAGTTTTGCTTTCCTGATCATTTAATTATTTAGTGGATCTCAAGAGACCTCTTGTCCATGTACCAGGACAAAGATTTAGAAGTTTTACAGAACTCTGAGCTTCTAAACATTCCCCTGGGAATGAAGAGGCTACTCACAGAGTAGTAAGTGTAGAGGGAAAAAAAAAAAACCCACTGTGCTGCAAAGCCCACTTCCCTTCTGCTCAGGCAAGTCCTTTTCCTTCAGCCCATTCTTACAGAGCAGCAAAGGCACACCAACAAGAGTGGAGGGGGTATAGCTCAACTCTTCAGTCAGGAGGAAGGGAAGCAAGTTTTGGTGTTTAGTAAACTGTCAGTTATTTAAGTAATTAAGTTGTTGAGGCAAATTAAAGTTTGCAAAAAAACACCAACAACAAACACAAAACAATCAAAAAAGTCTCAATGAACCAAAGAACAACCAGCCAATCAAAAATGCCACACCCCAAAGCCTAAGCTCAAAAAGATAGGGAAGTCTGTTGCCAACACTTCTTACGTAAGGATTGATTACTATTGGAGAACTTGTAATTAGCTACTGTTAATTTCTCTGTTTTCAGCTGTTTTACCGAAATTTTAGCTGTTTTTAATTCTTCTATTGAAATTATTCTTCCCTTTCTTCTATTCTTCCCTCTCCTCTGAGAGTTATGTTATTCTTTCCAGTCAAAAATGAAAATTTACATCTATTTCTTGAGGCACTCCAATTCACTGGA